TGTTGCTGGAAACATTGGATGATGTCATGTCGTGTTCGTTTATTAATAGTGCACTTTTAATATTCAAATGATAGTCGCTACAGATCTAAGAAAAATCATGAAAAAACCTCTCGATTTCAGTTGCTTTTTTCACAACTACTCAGACTGCCCAGTCCTGGATAGGGGGATAAACTATATCCGGTAGCAAGTCCTCTGATCGGGAGATTGGAGGTTTTGAGAAACATGGAACCACCCCCTAATTGCTAGTCCCAGGTACGACGATAAACAACATTCGGCAGAAAGGCCTCTGATCGAGAGAGTGAATGTTAGTTCTACCGGTCCCGATCCTTGAAGAGCGTGGAACCACCTCTTAATTACCGTTGACCCAGGGTCTACCATGATAGAACCGTGTCAGGTTCCCAGCTATGGGAATATAGTGAAAATGCCAGTAATGCATTATTAATTCGAACTGAATGCTTTATTTAGTCTATTTGTACTAAATAAAGGGTTCAGTTCTAAATTCCAATAAATATCACATAAAGAAGGCCGGAGCATACAACGACCGAAATGTCGAGAATGTGACAATAAAGATAAGGACACCAGTCCGAACGATGTAAATAGTTACATTACCAGATCTCTATAAAAGTCAGACCTTCACATTAGTTGCACTAGTCCAAACATTTCACATTATTTCCTCCAGCACAGACACTGCACATTAGTTCCATTGGTCCAAACATTTCACATTAGTTCCTCCAGTCCGGATCATTCGCATTAGTTCCACCAGTCCAAACATTTCAAATTAGTTCTCCCAGTCCAGACCTTTTATATTAGTTCCACTAGTCAGACGTTTTACATTATTCAATCAGTCCAGATCTTTCACATTGGTTCCACTAGTCCAGACGTTTCAAATTGTTCCAGAAGTCTTGAACTTTCACTTTAGTTCCATCAGTCCAGAACTTTCACATTAGTTCCACCAGTCCGGAAATCTAACATTAATCCATCAGTCCAAATCTCTCATATTATTCCACCAGTCCAGACCTTTCACGTAAGTTCCATCAGTTCAAACATTTCACATTGGTTCCACCAGTCCAGACTATCCACATTAGTTCCATCAGTCCAGATCTTTAACTTTAACATTATTCTTTAACATTATTAGTCCAGACCTTTCACATTGGTTCAACCAAACCAGACCTTTAACATTAGTTCCACCATTCCAGATCTTTCACATTATTCCATTAATCCAGATCTTTCTTATTGGTTCTATCTGTTCAGACATTTCATATTATTCAATCAGTCAATGCCTTTTACATTTATTCCATCAGTTCAGGTCTTTTACATTAGTACCATCAGTCCAGATGTTTCACATTAGTTCCATCAATCCAGACCCTTTCACCAGTCCTGACCTTTCACATTAGTTCAACCAGTCTGGAAACTTAATATAATTCCACCAGTCCAGACCTTTCATATTATTCCACCAGTCCAGACATTTCATATTAGTTCCATCAGTCCAGACCTTTCGCATTGGTTCCATCTGTCCAGACCTTTCACATTATTCAATCAGTCAAGGCCTCTCACATTAGTTCCATCAGATCAAAACTTTCACATTATTTCCATCACTCCAGGCTTTTCGCATTATTCCAACAGTCCAGACATTTCGCATTAGTTACATTAGTCACGAACTTTCACATTGGTTCTACCAATCCAGATCATTCACATTAGTTCCACCAGTCTGGAACCTTAACATAATTCCACCAGTACAGACCATTCACATTATCCCAGTTTAAAGTTTCACATGAGTTCCACCAGTCCAGAACATTCACATTAGTTCCACCAGTCCAGAACATTCACATGAGTTCCACCAGTCCAAACATCACAAATTAGTTTCGTCAGTCAAACTTTTCACATTTTACGCATCATCCTGTTATTTTTTTTATTTTATTTTTTTGCAGTTACCTTCTTCTAGTCCTTACCTAAAGAGGCAGAAACTACAAAGTAGCAAGGTGCTTTGAATTCAGGTTGTTCCTTCTCCTAAACTAGTTGCCAACCAAGGCTGTAGGGCCGAATCTGTTCTGCTATTTACACATATTTGGGGGAAGGGTGAATAGAATTTGAATTCTGCCCTCCAATTTCTATATCCGATACACTATCCATTATTCTACTGTTCCTCCGTATTTAGATACGTACATTACCTAAATATTGTACATTTTAAAGATAAATGGTTTTGAAAAGTTCTAGAGACAGAAAGATTGTTTTGGTCTGTTTGCTTGCTTACAAAAATCAGCACGCATCATCCTGTTTTTTTTTAGCTTGATTCAAACGCAGACGACAGAAAACAAAATGTGTATTGGCCACCAAGGAAGACAGAGAAAAGAACAGGAATAGGGAAAAATCACTTATTCAGAAAGCAAGCAAAAAACTTGATTTTTTTTATATAAATATAACTAGTTACCTCAAAAAGTTCGATAAAAAAGGAACATAGATGTTGAAAAATGCCCCAAACTTAAAAAAAAAAATTATCGCTAAAATCTTTATTATTAAGAGAAAAGACCAAAGGATATTTTGATTATTATGAAATTATTTTTTAATTACATTTTTGATGTATGTATGTATAGCTGGCCACTCATATTTGAGAATACCCCTCTACTAGGGCCGTTAGCTAATCCCTATTGCAGACGCTTGCTCAGGCGCATTTGTGTTTATTCAACACCCGTGGTTTATACTGCACCTATGCTGAGCAGACCTTACAGTTTCTAGGAAAGAGCGTTATCTAGCGTGATCAACAATTTGAACAAGCCCCGCTCGCTCGAGCCTTCGGCTACGATGACTTGAGATTTCGTACTAGCACAGCTATCGACGGTCCCAAGGGATAGGCCTACGCAATTTCGCTCACAACCCGGGTCTCACGGTCAGAATGCAAACGTTCTAACCACTTGGCTACGTGCCTAAGATTTTTTGATACCAATAAGGACAACATTTTTTAGACCAATAAGAACAACAATCACAGAAGATAATTTCAGAGTCCAATATCCAAAATTGCTTTCCTTCAAGATAATATACGACAACTCTGCTAAGGAATTAGTCTCCTCCATCTCAATCATTTTCTCTTTTATTGCGATAATTGTCTCTAAAAAGAAGTCTCTAGAATTAAGCAAGACGTCTTAAAGCCAGAAGAGACAAGTTCAAAATGTATAAAACATTTTTATCTTATTGAAAAAAGATTGCTTAATCTGAGAGGAACTTTTCTTTTGTAAAATGTTTTCTTTTCTTAATTATGTTTAATTTCCTTTCTGCGAATCATAAAATCGACAAAATATATTTTATTACTTCATGAACATACAGATACCGAAATATTATATTTTATCTCTATATATATTGATATAGTATGAATGAAATTATTATTTACATATATGTCGGTACTTCCAAAGATTCGCTAAAAAATGGGCATACATGATGAAAAAATGTCTTAAACTTAATAAAAAAAATTTTAACGTCAACATCTTTGTTATCATTAAGAGAAAAGAGCAAACAATATTTTGCTGTTCCTAAACTAGTTGCCAACAAAGGCTGTAGGGCCGAATCTGTTCTGCTATTTACCCATATTTGGGGGAAGGGTGAATGGAATTCGAACTCTGACCTCCAATTTCTATATCCGATACACTATCAGTTGCTCTACTGTGCCTCTATATTTAGATATGTACATTACATAAATATTGTACATTTTAAAGGCAAACAAAAATGTTTTCAGAAAATCTTGATAAAAATATTTTTATATCTATTACAACTTCAGAGTCCAATATCCCAAACTGCTTTCCTTCAAGATAATATGCAACATTGTAGATTCTGCTAAGGAATTACTGTCTCCCCCATCTCACTCATTTTCTCTTTTATCGCGATAATTGACTCTAAAAAGAAGTCTCTAGAATTAAATTTCAAATAGATTCTTCTTAAAGCCAGAAGAAACAAATTCAAAATGTATAAGACTTTTTTTATCGTATTGGAGAAATCGTATCTTCAAAGATTCGCTAAAAATGAGCATACATGATGAAAAAATGCCCCAAACTTAAAAAAAAAAAATTATCGTCAAAAGCTTTGTTATTATTAAGAAGGAAGACCAAAGGATTTTTTGACTATGAAATTATTATTCTTTAGAACCTTCGAAATTTTAGTTTTTTTTTTTCTTGCATCAGCGGGTGACCATAAATTATGGGAAATTTGTGTATCTTTTTGCAATGAAAAACACAGATTTGGAAATTCTTGCAATCGCTTTTTTAGTAGTACTTAAATATAACCCAAAGCAGCGCTCATCGAAAACATTGTCTTTCTTTGTTTAGGCCTTTCTTGCTTGTTTTTTTCTTTCTTTCTTTCTTTCTTTCTTTCTTTCTTTCTTTCTTTCTTAGTTTCATCGGTTCTCTCTCTATCTCTTTCTTTCTTCGTTTCTTTTTTCCTTTCATCGTTTCTTTCTTTTTTTGTTTCTTTCTTTCTTTTTTCCTCGTCACTTTCTTACTTTCTTTTTTCTTTTGTTCATCGTTTATTTCTTTGTTTGTTTTAGAGTTTCTTTCTTCCTTCTCAGTTCGTTCATGTCTATAGTTCATTGCTTCTATCTATCTATCTATCTATCTATCTATCTATCTATCTATCATCTATCTATCATATCTATCTAACTAACTAACTACTTATATCTCCGGCAGTATATCTAAGTTTTTTTCATCTACCTATCCCGCCTCGTAATGGGTTAGATAGTAGGAAGTGTATCTCGAAAAATCAATGTGATTTTCAGAAAATTATTAATGTAATATTCACTCGCAAAAAGAATTATTGTTATAATCTAAAATATATTTTGGCTTTAAATAACCCACAAAGGGTTGATAAACAGTAAATAAACAAATCTAACTATCTCAATCTGTTCATATCTATCTATCTATCTATCTATCTATCGATTTATATCAAACTGTTTATATCTATTATCCATCTATCTAAATCTATTTATATCTATCTCAATCTGTTCATAGCCATCTATCTCAATGTTTATATCTGTCTATCTATCCATCTATCTATCTAAATCAGTTTATATCTATCTATCTATCTATCTATCTCAATCTGTTCATATCTATCTCAATCTGTTCATATCTGTCTGTCTATCCATCTATCTATCTCAATCTGTTGATATTTATCTATCTATCTATATCAAACTGTTTATATCTATTATCTATCTAAATCTATTTATATATCTCTCAATCGGCTCATATCTATCTCAGTCTGTTTATAGCCATCTATCTCAATCTGTTTATATCTATCTATCTATCTATCTATCTATCTATCTATCTATCTTTCTTTCTTTCTTTCTTTCTTTCTTTCTCAATCTATTCATATCTATCTATCTATCTATATCAAATTGTTTATATCTATTATCCATCTATCTCAATCTGTTCATATCTATCTATATATCTATTTATCCATCTATCGATCTATCTATCTCAATCTGTTGATATTTATCTATCTATCTATATCAAATTGTTTATATCTATTATTTTTCTATCTAAATCTATTTATATCTATCTCAATCTGTTCATAGCCATCTACTCAATATGTTTATAACTATCTATCCATCTATGTAAATCTGCTTATATCTATCTATCTTTCTTTCTTTCTTTCTTTCTCAATCTATCTATCTATCTATCTATCTATCTATCTATCTATCTATCTATCTATCTCAGTCGGTTTATATCTAACCATTTATTTTACTCTGTTTCATTCTAAGTGGGTGTGAAATTCTGAAACTGAGGAGAAACCTGAACACGTACGAATACAGTACAGTTGGCAATAATAGAAGGCTGAAGATGTTTCTCCACTCCCGGATTCCTTGGCGTGACTGGCTTCAGCAGTATTTCTTCTCACCCGGCTCTTTTAAAAAAAAAAATATGACTTGTATCTGGAAAAATCCTAGTTATCTCCAAACATTGTTAATATATTATTCACACGGGAAAAAAAAGAATTATTCTTACATTACAAAATAGGTACTCGGACATTTGCCCGATGGACATTTAGCCGAAAATGTATTGACCTACTTAAATGTATATCACATTCTTTATCGTAATGTGCTACATATATTTATATCTATCTATGTTTTAATTTATAATTTTTTTGAGAAAAAGCACATTTTACTTCAGCAAAAATCTTAAGCTTTTACGATATGAAAGATCTTTCAATTTCGATTTTAATGATCATTATCGTAAAGAGATGAACTAGCTTTTATCTTACTGTTAAATACGAATTTAAATAATTAGCTGCTATTTTTTACCCAAATACACTCAAATATTACTTTTAAATACTAGTTTCAATAAACAAATATTGAAATAAGAAAACTTTTAACTTTAAATTTAAATTTAGTAATTTAATCATTTGAAATTCAGTGGTAATTACTAGTCCTATTCTACCTTATAATACTGCTAATTAAAATACTTAAAGTAGTGCTTGTTACTATTTTTACCTGTACTTTTTTAGTGAAATGTCCGTCGGCCAAATGTCTCTCGGCCAAATGTCTCTCGGCCAAATGTCTCTCGGCCAAATGTCCAGCCAAGTCCCAAAATATATTTCGGCTTTAAATAGCCTATCATAAATAAAGTGTTGATAAGTCGTAAAATACAAATCAAATCTGACTTCAGCAGATTGAAACGAGCCACCACGTAGTGATGACTAATCGCTTATCAACCTGCTGAGATCCGTCCCCACTACTTAATACCATCGTGTCTGTCCTTGTGTTATAAATCAAAGAAGCCTGTCATGCAGCGTTGTGAACCTGAGGAATTACCAAAAGAAACCAGAGTTGACATGCTATACAACATGAATGCCAGAAGTTTGAATATTGATTTTTAAGGAAAGCCAGTCTTTTTCACTTGGAAGATTGGTAAAACTAAATGCTACACCGCAACTCTGCGTGCGTTATTGCAATCATCATAGCTGAATGTTGGCTTTCTTTCCATAAAACTAACAACCTTTTCAATAGCTTTTTGAATTTCAGTTCAGGTTTCATCACAATCATGCATCTCATCGCTATCTTGATGCAGATGTGTCTCATTGTCATCCTTTCCTCTTATTCCCATCATCTTTTGCACCAAAACAAGACATTAGGGTGAAATAAGCATATGCAATTATCTAAAGTAAATTTTCTGAAAAACAGAAATTTCAAATCAGTTACATATCACCCAAATAGTTCAAATATACACATCAAAATCATGTCCGGATATGCGGGATTCCAGAAATGAGGCACTCCGGATATGAGGGATTCTACTGTATCCAGAACTTTTTTAACAAATGACGGAAAATGTGGCAGCGAAATCTGAAGGCGTATTTAATACCATTTTTTTTACTATTATTTATAAGGCCTAAGAGCATCTCAGGGTAGAGGGTCACTGAATGGGCCTATAGAAAGAAATCAAGTAATTGCATATTGTTGGGGATATACAGAATAGATAACATTCAACCCTCGATTTGAAGAAGTTCAGATTTTAGTGATCAGGGAAGCATCCTCCCTGGAGCCCGTTCCACATTACAAAAAATTAATAAACACGAATATTTTTTTGTTAGAAACAAAGAACTCTGCGATAAAATGATGTGTGATCCTCCAATTGGATTTGAATCAGTTTTCTAGTATTTACTGCCATATGGCGATGAATGCTAAATACTTTTCTCGTATATGACGAGGAAACGTGAATCAACGAGATGTGGTTGTATAGAACGATACTGAGAATACCATGGATTAGAAAGAGACAATTGAAATTTCTGGGACACATAATGAGGAAAGAAGACTAAGAGAATTTAACACTCATAGGACATATTTTAGGGAAGAAGTTCGTTGATTTATCCGTTTTTTATGGTTTATCAACCCTTTGCAGGTTATTTAAAGCGAGAAAATATTTCTACGAGGGTAAGTCAAAAATTGTCCGTACTTTCACCAGTCCATTTCTTTAGACAAGAGTGCAGATAATTTTTGACTTCCACTCGTAGATTCTAAGAATTTAGTGGGGTGATAATAATGGTTTAGCGATACAAATCTTACTAATTAACCCATAGTTGGGGGAGAAGGGGTGGATTCTTGTTGGAATTTTTGGGTAGTGTAGTACTAGTGAGATAGCCAAAATGAGCTGACTCATTTTATAGTTCATCAATAGAAGGATTAACCAATCATAAGGCTCAAAATATTCAATGCGACGTGTATAAAGGCAGACATGTTTTTTTTTCACTGCCAACCTCTGATATCGAAGACCGAAGAATTACGGAACAGCTGCTGGTGGTATTGGCGATATAGGCGGATTCAGTAGAGTGTCTGACTCGTGAGTATTAATCTTTAACGTTGTTTTATTGAACAGATTACGTACTGCGCTGTATTCTATATTTATAGACTTGGCGAACATGATCAACAATTCATACCTTTCTCATAAAACATAACTGAATATAATGAACCAAACGGAAACTGGAACTCGGCACTTTGATTAACAGTTCTTAGTCATTATCCATTACATCACCTGCATTCTCAAGCTTACTATATTGTTTCGTTTTGTTTTACGGCATATCGACCTTAATGGGTTTTTTAATGCCGACAAGATTTTATTGCTGGTAATATTTTTTCAAAAAATATATTGCTGTTAATATTTTTCTTTTTCAAAAATGTACTGCTACCAATAATTCTTCTAAAAAAGTATTGCTGGCATTAAAATTTTTGTACTTCCATAATGTTTTGACCACTTTTGTTAACTATTTGCCTAGAGCTGAAACTCTCACAGGTGACACCACCCTGGGTCAGGGTGGACATGGGGACACCAGCAATGTAATGTAATGTGGAACGGGCTCCAGGCAGGATGCTTCCCTGATCCCTAAAATCTGAACTTCTTCAAATCGAGGGTTAAATGTTATCTATTCTGTATATCCTCAACAATATGCAACTACTTAATTTCTTTCTATAGGACCATCCAGTAACCTTCTACCTTGAGTTGCATCGTTCCATGCTCCTCAAAACCTCCTGATCAAAGGCCTTACTGTCTGATGTAGTTAATCTTCTTACCCAGGACGCGGATGTAGATTATCGTTATACCCAGGACGGCAAGCTTACTATACCTGGTCTTCCAAAGTGGTCACCCATCTAGGCTCTAACCAAGCACGACGTTGTTTAACTTCGGTGATCGTACGATAACCGGTGTTCCAATGTAATGTGGCTGTAAACCTGAAGAGAAAAAAGAAAAAGAGTAAATCTCTAGTAACCTACCTAGCTTAGTGGTTTAAATAGATGTCAGAACAGGAAATAGAAGTAGTAAGTGGACAAACATAGTTACAAAGTCAAGGAAGTTGTGGAGAGTCATGATCGACCAGTAGGGAACGGCATATAAAATAGAGACGAAGCTGAACCTTGAACTGATTATAATCCCCACTTCATTTCAAGACTTTTATTTCCACTGGAAACAAAATTGTCACTATTAGAATTAGATAGAGCCTGGAACAAATAAATAGGGCTTGGAGAATTTAACATTCACAAGACGTATTGAAAGTAATAGTTACAGAGAGAAATGGTGAGTAGGTGATCTAAATATCTAAATCAGGGTTATCCAACATATTTTTTCCTAATGGGCCAAATTAGAAATTGAGTTTATTCACCAAGCTAAAAAAAAAAGTTACAATGAATCATTCATACAAAAGTAAATTAGTAAAGTTAATGATATAAAATAGCGAAATCTCTTCGCTAACAAAATTTTAAAGTTGCATTAACCTACAAATCACTCGATGAATGTTATGATCCTTTTTTTTTTAATTATAAACTGTATTAGGTCTTCCTTAAATATGCAAGTACTTTCGACAGTTCCTCCGGTCATCCTCAGGCATGGAAACTATTTTGATTTTGGTAAAATTCAGGTAGCATCCGAGACGAAAAAATATAATGCAAATCGAAATATGTTTTTTATTGTTTTTAAATGCGATATTGATAACAGATAGAAACTTGTGGAGCATGCAGTTGCAACACTAAGTTTGAATTTTTGAAAAATTAAGTGAGAGGGTTTTTTACTAATCTGGCAACTTATGAACTTTTTTGTTGTAGGAGTTTATCAGTCAACGTCGCATGAACCACGCACCAGCCGTTTGTGTCGCGGCAAAGACGTTTGTCCTCTTCCCCTTTTTAGGGCAATGGAGAAGTGAAACTACTCGCACAATCTGAGAATAATTTTCTCAACATACGTTACTACAGATTTTAGGATGCAGTAGGCCGCATGAAAATATTAAGTGGGCCGCAATGCGGGTCGCGCGTTGGGCGTCATTTAGCAATGTTTGCCGCCTTTTATCCTTTAGATTCTAAATGATAAAAGACGATAAACACTGCTTAGACCTACAAAGGATAGGAAGTTGTGGGGAGCCATGACTGCCTCCTGAAGAAACAAGATACACAGAAGAAGAGGGAGAAACGGCAGGATTTTGAATACTGACCTTCCAAATAAACAGGCTTTTGAAAAACAGACACCGCACACGAATTTTCCAAAGCTGCATCTGGTTTTATGTTGGACAACACACAGTTTCGTAAATATCTCTACTGCACATGTCAGCCTACCCTGGCCGATTTGTTTGCAGAGACTAAGCTTATTGTATACCTGAAAGGTTATTTTTAAATTTGCACATTGCATTCGTGAGACAGACTATAAATTTATATATATATATATATATACGACGGATTCCCCTCCCCCGTGAAAACCGTTTCTCTTATCACTGTAACACGATTCCCTGTGTATATCACCAGCGTAAATAAAACTTCATTCCTTCTCTCCTATAGCACTAAAAAACTTGACAAATACAAATCCCCACATAGTTGAGAAGAAAGGCTTGGCATCATGAAAGCTGATATCCGCTATGTTATATATATATATATATATATATATATATATATATATATATATATATATAAAAAAGAACAGTAAGATATATAATCCGGTGTTCTTATTGGTATTTTTATTTTTACAAAATCAATGTAAATTTGCTTAAGGATGAAATGGAACTAATGTTCGCTTGAGGATGAAATGGAACTAATTTTTTTAATTTAATTACAAAATAAAATTCGAAGCTTTCAGCTTTCATTTTTGAAACATGGTTAACACTGTGTAGCGAAAAAAAACATATTTTAAATCAGTTAAAATATATGGTGCAATTGGTAAATTGTCGCCTTTTCATATTTTTAATTTCGCACATGCGCATCGTTTGTTTTTGATTTTGCCGACTGTACAATATAGTAGGGTCAGTTGGGCACCGTCTGCGAAAAGAAGAGCACCTTGACGTAATTTACTCCGCCAGACTTTTAGTAACATATGCCGACTTCGAAGTTTCGTGAACGCATTACAGTAAGGCTTTCACATGACTGAACCACCACGACTCAGTTAAGTGATAAGATTCTCCATAAATTCAATTCTATTATATATATATATATATATATATATATATACTCGACTCTCCCGTCGAATTCGACGCATGAGGGTCAAGCAGATCAGTTCCTAGGAAACCGAGAGCCCGACAACAGCACATGAGATTTGATTATAGTGGTGAAGGTTTCATGCAGGACCATCCACACTTTTTGAAGGGCCGAATACAGAGACCGGGTACACTAAGTGCCACAAGGTCCCCAAACGTTTCTCCGCAGGTTTGGAATTCAGAGTTGTCCTTCTCCTAGACCAGTTGCCAACCAAGGCTATAGAACCCAGTCTATCATGCTATTTATCCATAGCTAGGAATTAGCACGTAAGTGAATGTAAATAACTCAACTGGAATTCGAACTCGGCTCTCCGATTACCTTAATCCGAATCGCTATCCACCATGCCTCCAGTTACTGACATTAAAATAAATGAATATATTGCTTTTTCGGGTGCTATTTTTTCAAAATGTTTATTTTATTTTTATTTATATATTTATACATATTATTACTACTACTAGTAGTAGTAGTAGTATAATAATATTTCCTTTCTGGCATGTACACATTTCTTTCCAGGTCCCGCCCAGAGACCTAAAGTCACAAATGGCATCATGACATTTTCTACTGACCAATTAAAAAAAAAATGTGTTGTCATCGTATTCCGAAGCCCCAGCCAACAAGGCGAGATTCCAATTTCCACGCCGATAACCGTTATACTACTCATATATGCTAAGCCTGCCCATAGCATATGTTTTGTTTAATTTCAATGGAAATTGAATTTTTCTTTTTTTTAATCCTGTAGGGAGGTACAATCAGAGGTTGGAACCACCAGTGGCAAGAACAGCTGGATCTCTAGAAAATACATCCGGAAGTTAATAGTTTGTTGTTGTTTTTTATTAAGCGTGATCTAGTTTGGTACATATTCACAAATACATGGCACCTAGTGAGTATCAAACTCAATACTCAGAGGTAATGACTTTTTACTACTACCAAGAGAAAGGAGAATGAACCTGAGGGGACAAGAGACTGCCTAACTCTATATCATTTTTGTTAGGCATGTTAGTCTAAGATCTTTCCAGCCTCGACAGAGTTGAAAAGGGTTTGCGCGGCCTTGTGAGTGATGAATTGTTTTCCACCGTATAACCACTTTCCCACGGACAGAAGTAGCCTCTCACTACTCCATCGCAATTTTCATGCCAGTTGCTCGGGCGGATTACATTCACTGGTTCCACCAGTAGAGTCCTTCACGGCTAAAACCTGCTACACCACGTACACTGAGTCGACTAATTTCTTTCGTATTCTATTAGTCAGGAGGAAGTTCCACTCAAACAGCTTCTTTTCCAGAACATTTGCATCGCGGAACGGACTCCCAAGAGGATGCTTCCCCGATCACTAAAATCTTAATCTCTTCAAGTCTAAGGTCAACCTTTATCATAATATGCATTCTTTTTGCCTCCCTGTACGCCTTTACAATAACTTCATTTGATAACCCTCTATCTTGAGTGGCTATTGGGGCTTACATTGGATGAAAAATAATAAAAAGAGCATTTCCCTTTTATTTCGTTCTTTATTAGCTACTGAGAAATTCGACAATGTCTGTCAGAATGCTTATCTGCAAGCAAGATCTCTATTTCAGTGGATTACTAACCGATTTCTAAAGTTAATAGCTGTCGAGTTTCAAATAATGAGATGAAGACACTGTCATAATTAAATCGTCACTAGGCAACTAACTGACATTTGTGTCAGAACTCAATATAGACACCTCGATAAAATTCTGTTAAGCTGAATTCCAACGCTGACAGTTCATCCTCCTTTCAAAGATAGACTCAATATCATCTTCTATCGTGATTTCAAACTACAGTAGAATTCCTCATATCCGGAATCCCTCATATCCGAAGTGCCTCATATCCGGATTCCCACATATCTGGACAGGATTTTGATTGGTTAACTGTAATCTATTCTGTCTATCTCCAACAATATACAACTACTTGGTTTCTTTCTATAGGCCATTTCAGTAACCTTGGGTTTGGCTAAATAGTAAATTTGTTAAAAAAGTTCTGGATACATTTGAATTTCTCCTATCCGGAGTGCCTCATATCCGGAATCCCTCATATCCGGAGTGCCTCATATCCGGAATCCCTCATATCCGGAGTGCCTCATATCCGGAATCAAGCATATCCGGATATGATTTTGATGTGTATATTTGAACTATTTGGGTAACAGATTTGAAATTTCTGTTTTTCAGGAAATTTACTTTGGACAATTGCTTATTTCACCCTAATGGTTTGTATTGGCGCAAAAGATGATGGGAATAAAAGGAAAGGATGACAAAGAGACACAACTGGCAAAAGATAGCGACGAGATGCATGATTGTGATGAAACCTGGACTGAAATTGAGAAAAAGCTATTGAAAAGGCTATCAGTTTTATGGACAGAAAGCCAGCATTCAGCTATGATGAGTTAATAAGTGTCTTTGGTTTAAAATATTTCAAAAACAAAAGCAAAACGAAATGCGGAAAAAGTTGAGAATGACATTAGAAGAGAAAGAATCATCATGCAACAGCGATTAAAAAATCCTCGTTAGATTATTTGTTTTGCATACGTGGCATACTTAAGTTAATGAATTTTCATTAACATTACATAATTTATTTCTTTTTCTTTAAAATCAATTCCGTTATATTTCACTCAGCATTGGCTTATTTTGTTTACTATAAAACAGTGAAAATAAATGTTAAACCTGACTTCAGTTCTTTTATTTTAATCTAAATATAACCCCCTCATATCCGGACTTTGTAACTAATTCCTCATTTCCGTAAGGCTTCCTTAGTTCGGTTGTCAGGGATTCTAATGTATCTAGACTTGTGCTATACGAAGCAAAGCTTGATAAATAAAATTCGTCAAGTGTTTTTGTTCTACTCGTTTCCTGTACTTGTTTTGTGTTTTTTTTTTTAAGTTTATTCTTACTTTTATTTCTCTCTAACTCCCACGCAGGTTCCCAAGAGATTGCCATGTTGAAAGGCACGCTGTTGGCGTCTTTAAACTACGATTCCATTTACTCTTCGATGCGTGTTTACATCGCCAATGCCCTGCACATACTGCAAATGTTCTACAGCAACACCAACTGGGTGGAGATGAAAGGAGCCGAAATCAATAAAGACGTGGGTAAGTGATGGACTCTTATCCTTAGATCATCATCATCATCATCATCATCATCATCATCAGTCCTATGACAGGGTGATATCGTAACGTCGCTCCGAAACTGAGCACCTAGCCAGTTAACGGATCATGATATTCCCCCACTACTCCCGCTCATGAACAGAGATATATTATTATTATTATTATTAATTCATTTCCTTTGATTTCTGGTGTGTACTCCTTTCCGGGTCCCGCCCAAAGACCTAAGGTCAGCAATGATATTATGACATTTGCCACTGAGCAATTAAAAAAACACACACACACACCCATATTTTACATAGATAAATCCCATTTCTTGAAGGCGTGAGTTACCAGGAATCTCTTCAATGAGTCTACAGGATTATTTTCCAATTAATCCGTGGACTCCAACTACAACGGGGATTGTTGATGTTTTCTTTCTATTTCAAAGCTACCTTGTATATCTGAGATTTCGATTTCATTATTATTATTATTATTATTATTATTATTATTTCGAAAATACTAACCGACAGCTATGAACACATTGAGCAAAAATATCCGCGTCTTTAATGTGATTTTTCCCAACACACCTATAGTTTCTTTCAAAAGAAATAAAAATATCAGACAAATTTTAACAAATGTAAGCGTCCACACTCAAAACAATATTGGAATTTCGGATCGTTGTACTCCCGAAAACACTTATAGAAGAGGAAAACACCGCTTTGTGCAGTAACACGACTCAAGTTAATTCTATCACAAATTCAAAGAAAATCATTGCAATTTCTACAGGGGGTGGTAATTGCACTAATTCCTATTTAATATAGGCCGCCCACTGAACCAAACATGATTTGATTTATGAGCAGAAAAATTAAATAAAAATTTAATGGACACAAGTATGATGTCAGCTGCAACAATGTGACATCAACGGAGCTTGTAGAACATTTTATTACAAACGACTGTAATTTCGATAAGCATCGAATGTTTGGTTGTCAGTAAAAAAAAAAAAAACAAACCAAGATGCTATCTACAAACTGAAAATGTCAAAATCAAGCAAACATAGCAATTCAGTTCTGGGAAATATTTTAACAGAAGATGAAAAATGTGACACCGAAATCCGAAGGCAGATTGGAATAGCGAAAGGTGATTTTCAAAAGCTAAGTAAAGTATTATGAAAAGGGGAAACTAAGAAACTAAGCAGAGAGTGCTAAACAATACCAATCCTGCGATATGACATTAAACGGTGGACAACTTCAGATGAATAGGACACATGAAACAATGGAGATGTGGTTTCACAGAAGGGTGCTGAAAATACGATGGACGATGCAGGTGAGCAAGGATGAAAATTTTAATGAAAATGGGACTAAAAAGGTCACTTGGAGTAGGACGGAGACATTTTTGGGACACATAATAAGGAAAGAGGGCTTAGAAAATTTGATACTCATAAGACTTAATTTAAGGCAAGAGAGACAGAGGTAAATTACTTAGTCTGTTTAAATGGATGTCAGATCAAAGAGTGGAAAATACAATTAAAAAAAAACAAATATTGCTGAAAGCTACAAAAGGCAAGAGAGCCATAATCGCCCAAATTCTTAAGGGACACGGCACATAAATGAAGTGGCAGGTTGCGGAACAAACTTGCTGTTCTTAATATAGGAGGTGTTCTTATTCGTTCCGTTTTCCCCAGAAGGTAGTGATTTTCTAAGCGTAGCTTAGATGTGGCACAAGGCCTAAAGAAGGGGGCATCCAGTGAGGATCGAACTCACTACTCAGTCGTAATTGTTCTAGCGAGACAAGCTTGTTAACCATTACACCACCTCGAGGTGCCCCTTTCCCCAGGAGTTAAAGGTATATGAAAGAATAGATCCCTACTCTCCTTGCAATAGATTGCGAAACTAGCTTGCTATATATAACTCTCTAATATGACCTCTGTTTGGTAATTTAAGTACTGGTACCAAAAATACTTTTTTCTGGGAACACTGTCTCCATCAAAGCCATGCAAGTGTCGCACAAATGGAACGCTATTTTAAATCTGTAATCTTACTAAAAACAAAAAATAGTTGTAATTGTTTTCAGCACTTACGAAGTAAATTTTAAGTAAAGAAAAATATAGAAAGCTTTTTTGTTGTTGTTGTTGTAAGTTCGCATAAAAGTCTTAATTTATTAAAGTTGAAAGTAGGATCGAGTTTCAAATACATGAAAATTTAGGACACGTGCTTTTATCTCATAAAAACATGTGTAAATCCAAATAATATTCCCTTCTAAAACATATCCGAGACTGACAATATAACAGGGAATGTACGAGATTTTTAGGTCATCCATTGTTTTTCATAAACTGCACTATTAGACAATTTAAAAAGTTTATAAAAGAAAGTAACTCCGAAAAATATGCCTGCATATAACCCAGAGTTAGTTTATAAAAAGTGTAGATAATATTTGTGGACATAAAATTAAGAAATTATCCTTTGAGATATTGTTTGCTGTACCAAATTTAATGATGGCGTAGAAAACGGTCATATTTAAAATATGGAGTTATAAACAAGAGAAAAGTTAAGAACGAACATTTAATTAGAGGGAAACATTTGGAAGTGAACCGGTTTCGCTCTTCACTTATCAAAACTCGATCGAGAATAATAAAATAAACGTATGTACCCACTAAAATAAGGAAAGGTATCAATACACTGTATTAGTAATATACTAACACCAAATATTTATATGCAAAGTATATTAAGTCCTAGCAGCCATTCCATCTATTTACACAAGGAAGGCTGCCTAGACTTAATAAAAATTCTTTCCAGCACTTTGAGATGAACACTGACGATGTTTTATCAAATGGTACGCAATATCCTACCCGGATGCAAAAGACTTATGCAAATTATCACTCATCTTCCCTAACCTGATAAATGCCTTAACATGCTGAGCAATACTTGATTTGTCCTTCCTATATAATTAGTGTCACACTGACATTCTTTGACGTTTATTGAATTTGGAAAAATTATTTATTTTTAAAATATTAAAACATTATTGGCAATGTTAATGGTAAAATTAGCCGTTTCCTTATAAGAAAACATTCGGCATTCTTTGACCGCCAGTCCACAAGGTTCGAAAAAGTAGAGTCATTGCCAAACCCAAAAGGTTTCACTCAAGCCATTTTAACTGCTGAATTAAGAAATACAACTGACAGTTTAGATATTTCTGAATGGGTTTGGCGCCTAGCATGGCATCCATATGAAAGTTTCGGCATTTTAAGAACATTACTCTAGTTTTCAGGATAATGTTTTCGTTTGGTAGCAATTTGTAGTGTGTGGCAAAACTACCTCAAGTGTTACTTATTCTATATTCAATTTCACTATCTCCTCTGCTAAACTTGTATTTAATTCATCCATACGCCGAGGTATTTGAAGTGTTTGATATTTACTATATCGACATCCTGAATCTTTATGATGGACTCAGGATAAATGGCATTACTGCTTTCATTCCAACTCCAGATCATAGTTTCTGTTTTCAAATGTTTTGAGTGTTGTTTCTTAGACATTACATTAAATATAGATTCTTAGCACAAGAACATGATTCAAAACTAGCTGGTTACAATGAAAAAGCTACGGCGTGGCGTAAATTCAGTGACATATTTAATAACACGGTGGGAAATTATGATTTGTGTCTTCGAATTTACTTGAAATACGCTGTTTCTTTTTTTGCTAAAAACCCTGGTACCGAAAAACTGAAAACTGATTTTGTGGATTTATACGACGATATTTATAAAAAAAGAATAAAATCTAACAGTTAAAAGTTAGATTTACTAAACACAGAAGTTTATTGGTTACTAAATATTTTCCCAATTATTTAATATCTATTTGAATCTAAATGAATTATTGAATTCACTGCTATAGACGATAATCGATATTACTTTAAAGTTCAGCAATCTGTTTTCTTGCTTTCTCATAAAACTTCCCTGCTTCTTATTATTTTGATTAATTTCTTCTTTTGCTTTTCCAACGCACCTTCGGATTTCAGTGTTACATTTTCCATCGTCTGTTAAATCAGTTCATAGATATTTAAGAGATAACCTGAAATTGAAACTTCTGTACTTGTTCGATTTTGATGTCTCATATTAATTGTTCGCTTCTTAGGTTCATCCCCTTGCCGACAACCATATATTCTATCTTCTTACAATCGATTACAACTAAAATATACTTTTCTACATAGTCGCCATCGAAGAACCTTGCGAAAGTAAGTGGAGCCACCATTGCACTTCTGCAGCAACAGCGTCATCTGTGTGGAACAGCTTCCTGGATAAATATGACTAGGTTGTGAGATAGCACAATCAAGTAGATTCTTTAAATAAGTTTATTTTGTAATCTTAATTGAATCTGTTACAGGACCAAAAAAATAACTAAGGCTTGCCGTAAGGATCAAATTCATCCTATCCACTATCATCAATAACACAAACTTGATAGCCATAGCTCTACGGCAGAAACCCAACGCAACAAAGCAAATATTTTATATCATTAATAATCGAATAAAAATTCTGCATTTACAGATTTTTTTTTTATATTTGAAAAGCAAAAGTGTCAGAATTTTAAAAACATGGTTATATCATTCAGATAATTTTTAAATAATTTACTAGCTGGAGGCATGGAAGTTTCACAGATGTTTACAACCAAAATTATCCATTACTTCACACCTCTGCTCTTCTCTCTTCCTTTGCTTGTATCTTCTTATTCCTACCCTTATCCCTCCCAATCTTTGTTACCCATCCTCATTTTTACCTAAATGTTAAACAAACATGGATTTGTTACCAATACATAGCCGAAGCTGACATAACAAGGATTGTACAACATTTTTAGGTCGTCCATTGTTTTTCACGATCTACAGTATTAGACATTCTTAAGAACTTATAATAAATAGTAACTCCAAAAAATTTGCCTGCATATAATCAAGTCAGTTTATAAAATGTGGTTAACATTTAAGTTATATAATATTAATAAAATGAATTATGATTTTGTTTGCAGGACAAAATTTGCAGCGTTGGACGAAACTACCACAGTCTATTCCATGTTTATTTTCCTTACCTCTAATACTAAATTTGTTACAACAGATCCATACATCAAGGTATCCAAAATGTTTAGCATTTATTAATTCCACATCCTGGATTTTTGCGATGGATTCAGGGTAGGCGTCATCACAATTCTATAACATTGCTTCCTGTTTTGGAAATGTTCATCTTGAGAGCTATTTCTTGACAATCTTTGTTATCCGTTCTAATTTGGACAGAAATGTTATACAAACATGGTTCAGTTTCATGCATTATTTGCATTATTCTGACTGTTATATTCGGATTGTTGCCATATTCACAACGTTTCGGCCCTTCTAAACTTCAGTCTTCTTCAGGTGATTAGAAATTCGAACCGAACCCTTTATTTCGTCCGTCGGGGTAGATTTTTCTACTTCCACGTGCCATGCTTCCTCCGGTGTCTCAGTTATTGCCCTTTAACTCAACCCTCCAAGTTTTTGGTTCACCACTGCTGTGGCTTGGTATTGAACTCACAACTTTGGGTCTGGATCTGACCAAAGTCTTTGTCCACTAGATCATGACCTCAAGGTAACATGGCCAAGTGGATAAAGATAATGCAAGTAATTGTAATACCTCATCTCAGAGATATAGACAGATAGGGTTCAGTTTTCTATGTAAAAAAGGATTGAACACATTTTCTACTTCATCCTCGCTTTTATCATTCTTTTGCTCTGTGTCTCTCCATAAAGAATTTGAATGTATTGCAATTTCTATGCCTTTCTATACCTATCTGCTTTTTTGCAAAGATGTACGGGTAGATTAACGGTAAACAATACAAAATGTGGAACGAACGATTTCAGTTTAGTCTCCGGTTGAAATGGTTTTCGTTCTCTTCGCACTACTGACCTTGAGAAAAAACATGGATGCACCTCATTCACTCTAACAGCTACGAATTCAATAATGGAATAAACTGGAATATCTAACTTTAGTATGGCAAACAGCCTGTATTGGAAACTGCAAAATCAACGAGAAGTCTCGAATATATATATATATATATGTGGAACCCCGTTTAAAATTGTATAAAATTCCATTAGGTTTAAGTAATATAATTAAAAATTTCAATTCTGTGCGAAAAAAGATCACGCAGAAATCGGCTCACTTTTGGGCAAAACATGGGCTCCAAATTCAATTTTCCACATTAGCATTTATTAACCAATCAGCAACGTTATCTTAAATGCTATGTCAGCTTTGGAAAAACAGACGTCTCACATTCGTTGTTCGCATCTTGGGCTCATCCTCTTGCGAACAACCATATATTCTCTCTTCTTACAATCAATTACAAGTAAAATCTACTTTTCCTCATAGTTGCCAGGGAATAACCTAGCGAATGTTCTTTGCTAAAATTGAATTTTTGCTCTAGAAAACGATTAACAATATTTTGTCTCCCAAAAATAGATATTAAATAATTGGGAAAATATTTATTAACCAATAATCTTCTGAGCTTAGTAAATCTAACTTTTAAGTGCTAAAGCCTATACTTTTTTTCTTATAAATATCGTCGCATAAATCACAATAAATCGGTTTTCAGTTTTTCGATACCAGGGATTTTTGCGCAATAATTATTCCTCAATCTTTCGAAGAATGATTGAGCACCATCTTACAAATAGCTTCTCGTTTTTAAAATATATTATTCAACAGGAAATATACGAAAGAGAATATATAAAAAAGCGAATATTAGCAACACTACTGACTGCTGAAAAATTATATACATACATAAAACAAACTAAATACGTGATTCTCTTGTTATGTAGTCGCATACAGACTTTGCATGTGTAAATACATGAACATTCAGTATTTGTTATATAATGGTTATTACTCCAGATAGCTATTGAACACTTTTTGTCAGTGATTCAATTCGCTTTGTCATACGCTGAATTTTACGTATATTAATAGTTTTTTATAATTATTTTCTTAATATATAGAGATTGACATCATTTTGTCGCCTAATAACATAACCATTTCCCGCTCAAATGATCTCGACTTTTAACACAATATGTAAAATCTAAGTTGATTTTGCGGACTTATCTCAGTGAATATCTACCACGAATTCGGAAATGTAGACAAAGGTCCGATTTAAACTAGATTAAAAAACAAACAGGTAGATATTGTTCATGTTTATTTTCAAGTACCCACCTGTTACATTAACCCTGTTGGGAGTGGTTCACTCTTCTTCAAGAGATGCAATCGGTTTAATCTATGACTCACCGAAAGTAGAAAAAACAAAAAAGAGTAAATAAATACTAAGACATAAAGATCGATCAAATACTCCTCCGTGGTGTAGATTATCGAGTTCTTTCATTTTCGATTTACATACAAAATCATAGCATCTTTCTGGATTATTCTAAACACAGAATATTTCTCTCTGACTAATGCTCTTCTAATGTTCATTTTATTCTGGACAATTACCATATTTTTTTTGTCTTTGTTGCAGGTATTGATGGCAAAGTGTTAATTGTTGCTGACCGTTACCAAGCAACTTGTAGAAACTGTTCGTGAGTTTTACCTTTCAGCTTTCGCGCATGCCCGCTTGAAATGACTCGAGATAAAACTGGAGATGTCTTCTCGTTATGACTAATGCTAGTCTAATGAATATTAACAGAAAATATAAGTCCTATATACCAGGATTGGCTGAATAGTTCATAGGCTGAATGAATGTGTGATGCTAGAGCTGTGAAATCTTGCATGCATTAATTTCAACTCTTATTAATAACTGCATTGTTTCTTTCCAGCTAAACTGTTCTTGACTATTCATTTTATTAGTCAAGTCATCAACATCAGATATGACGTCATCATCACTTCGATACTGGTTCCCATCAAGTGTTTTTTTTAATGTTGGGGAACAGATGATAGTAAACTCAGGAGAATAGGAGAGTGATTAACCAATTCAAAGCCACAGTCACGCAGAGCAGCGTTTGAAACCAAAGTCTTGTCTGCTGGAGTATAGTTCTGATGAAACAAGAGACCTTTCGTCAGTTTTCCTGGGCATTTGGTCATGATAGCCTTCCATAACTGTCTCAGAAAGTTTGAAAAGTACTCTCCATTGATGGTGTGGCCCTTTTAAATATAGTCAATGAACACAGTTATTTTTTATCTCAAAAAACTGAGGCCATCTCCTCTCCCTGCAGATGAAATGGCCTTGACCATCTTTGTACCAGCTGAGGAGGATTGTTTGCACTGCATGGATTTTCTCTTTGTCTCTGGCTCAAAGTGATGAACCCAACATTCATCCTGGGTTATGAGACATTCAGGGAAACCAGCTAGATCTGCAGCAAACAATGTCAAATTCTCCCATGGTGTGATTAGCATTGTGCGCCTTTGATCATGTGTCAGAAGACGTGGTACCAATCGATCAGAAACCTTCGTCATACCAAGTTCATTGTGCAGAATATTCTGAACTCTCTCAAGGGATATGTTAATAGCATTTTCTATTTTATTTTTAGTCTATCGCCTGTCATCCATCACGGTGTGGTAAACACAATCAATGTTTTCCTCGGTGGTGGCAGTTGCAGGACGTCCACACATTGGGGTCATCTTTAACACTCTCCTTTCACCCCCTAAATTCAGCTGTTGCCTTTTGATAAAGTTTGTTGATGAAGCTGGATCATCACCCCTAATGTAGCAACCATGTCAGTATGAATGTCCTTGGGGCTAAAACCCTTTATTCTGCAGGTACTTGAAAACACCACAATACCAGATTTTGTCAGTTTTCAGGAGAAGGCGTTACTAGTTACATTTGAAGTGTTCGTTTAGCAGTCAGGGTTCTGGAAGGAAACAATGCAGTTATTAAGAAGATTTGCAATCAATGCAGACAAGATTTCACAGCTCTAGCATAATTCCTTCATGGTCAGCCCATGAACTTTTCAGCAAACCTTTGTATATGTAAAGTGTATGTGAGCAGTACATTTTCTTTGATAGTGTTTTATTAAAGACGAAACGCAAATTCTTTTTTATTCCTTTCCGCTCAGGTGTTTGACATCAGGATTTTGCTTACATAAGCATTGTCTGAATGCTAAGCTTTTCAGCGTTCATAAGACATTTTCAAAGAAATATTATATTTGTTTTGTAAAATATACATTTCGCTGTTTAAATTTGTGTTATATTACGCGTTAGTTTCAAATGTTACAACTTCCATGTTTTAGTTTGTGGTGCGTCTACTTTTTATTTATTAAATATGTTTAATGCTTGGTCTTAGTTTATTAATAAGAGGTTGTTTATGTTTATGAGTAAGGCTTTTAATATTTGTAATCGTTTTTTGTTTTGCTTTTTACAATTTATATAATATATGTATTTATCTGATTTATTTATATGCGATTGTATAGTGCTATTATCAGATAAATGGCAGGTTAGTCTACAATATAATGTAACAATTCTATAACCAATATATTTATTATTATTATTATTGTTGTTGCTGTTGTTGTTGTTATTGTTGTTATAGAAAAATCTGTGATTTATGATAATGGATGTTATATATAACTTTGAATTAATAAATAAGATTTATCATTTTTTCAATGGCGTTTTATTTATATGTTACTTATGTTTTTCTCACAGAACGAGTGGCTCTTGCAGTGGGAACATACTTGTCAATAACGTCTTGACCAGTGGCTACAAGGATAAACAAGATACACGAAAACCCAAATGGGATGAACCTATTTACTGGAATGGAAAACTAATCCGAGGTAATAAGTCAAAAATTATAAATGTAATAAGTAAAAAGATGCAAATGAAATCAAAAAAGATGCAAATGAAATTAAAAAATATCTAAATATAACAATTAAAAGCTGTTAAGGTAAAGACTAAGGTTATCAGTTATTAATAATCCTTCAAATCCGGAGAATCTTACGGGGACTTCAATAAAAGCATTTTTGGCATACAGTACGTCGAATAAAGAACCAAATATCGTTGGCTCTCTTTCTATCGCATTTTTACTGTCAGATCTACTGTAAAATATCCCTGAATTGGCTTACCCTAATTTTCACGCATCCTTTAAACTTCAACGCTGACACAAAAAGCCTGAATAATGACAGATTATGTGATCGGGAGAGAAAGCTCAAACCATGATGTATGGTAAGTTTAATTCTGAACAATTTTTCTTTATGTGCTGTGTCCCTTCAGGGCGTACGCGATCATGACTCTTCACAGTCTCCTGGCCTTCGTAACTCTTAGTAAATTTTGTCTTTTTTGTTATTTCTCCAAAGCATTATTCAGCCATCCATTTACTATGTTAAGCATTGTTTTCCTTTGCTCCTCTTGCCTTCAATCTGTCCTGTGAGTATCAGATTTGCTAAGCCTTGTTTCCTCATTATGCGGGCTAGAAATTTCAAGTTTCTTCTTCATGTTAAGTATAAGTGTACATGGTATCCTCAGCATCCTTCTGTAGAACGATATTTCTGTTGCTTCAAGTATTCATTTTGAGGAAGTTTCCGGTCTTCATTGCGTTCAATCTGTCCTGGAAGTAGCAGATTTTCCACGCACCCTTTCCTCATTATGTGTCATAGAAATTTCAACTGTCTCTTCCTGATGTTAAGTATAAGTTTCATTTTTGCCTCCATTTTTTTTCTAAAATGTTACTGCTCCAATATTCGGTCCGTGGTATCCTCATCATCCTTATGTAGAACCATATATCTGTTACTTCAGACTCCTTTTCATCTTTGAGGAGATTGCCCAGCATTCACTGCCCTAGAAGAGGACTGATATCACGTAACTGTTCAGTACTCTTTTCTTTGTTTCTTATGAAATTTTTCCGTATCTTAATACTCTGCTCAGCTTCTAGAAGGCATCTCTCACTATCAAAAGCGCCTTCGGATTTCAGTGTCTCACTTTCCGACCTCTGTTAAAAAAAAATTACCAGATCTTTAGACTTAAACATTTTAAAACAAGCAGTAACCCTCCTTCGTGAAGGGAAGTGAAACGAGGTACTGTGATGTGAGAAGATTAAGTAATTCACAGGTGATTGTAAATGTAGAGTAATTGTAAGCATCGAAATTTATTAACTAAATATTTTAGAGGTATCCGTTTTAGAGGTGTCTATTTTAGAGGTGTCTATTTCAGAGGTGTCCATTTTAGAGGTATCTATTTCAGAGGCGTCCATTTTAGAGGTGTCTATTTCAGAGGTGTCCATTTTAGAGGGGTCTATTTTAGAGGGGTCCATTTTAGAAGTGTCTATTTTAGAGGTGTCCATTTTAGAGGTGGCCATTTTAGAGGTGTCTATTTTAGTGGTGTCCATTTTAGAGGTGTCTATTTCAGATGTGTCTATTTCAGATGTGTCTGTTTTAGAGATGTTCATTTTAGAGATGTCCATTTTCGAGGTGTCCATTTTCGAGGTGTCCATTTTAGAGGTATATTTCAGAGTTGTCTATTTTAGAGGTGTCTATTTTAGTTGTGTCCATTTTAGAGGTGTCTATTTCAGAGGGGTCCATTTTAGAGGTGATTGTTTTAGAGGTATCCGTTTTAGAGGTGTATTTCAGATGTGTCTATTTCAGAGGTGTCCATGTTAGAGGTGTCCATTTTAAAGGGGTCTATTTTAGAGGGGTCCATTTTAGAAGTGTCTATTTTAGTGGTGTCCATTTTAGAGGTGTCTATTTCAGATGTGTCTATTTTAGAGATGTCCATTTTAGAGGTATATTTCGGAGGTGTCTATTTTAGAGGTGTCCATTTTAGAGGTGTCTATTTTAGTTGTGTCCATTTTAGAGGTGTCTATTTCACAGCTGTCTATTTTCGAGGTGTCGCGCCGATTTGTTCTTTCCGTTTATGTGAAGACTTTTTAAATAAATATTAGTTATACGAAAATACCGGGCTACAAAAGAAATATGATATGATGAAGATTATCTGGTAGATGGCTATTGTCAACTGGGGCGCGTAGACGCTCTCTCATTACCGTACTGTATTTTTCTTTTCAGACTGAATACTTTTCTGTATACATGAAACAATGTTAATACATGAATTAATGAGATTCTAATAGATAGATAGATATGAACAGACTGAGATAGATAGATAGATAGATAGATAGATAGATAGATAGATAGATAGATAGATAGATAGATAGATAGATAGAATTTTTCTAATGCTATTATATTTCTTATGCTACTTGTGGGGTTTGATCATATTTGCTGATCTCTATAACTAATAAACAATATATGTATCATATAGGTTACACAACAACTACTCTTTCATGCAGAATCACTTGTCATTCATCCGGATTAAGTTTTATTAGACAGCATATTAACATGCACCACAAGATAGATAGATAGATAGATAGATAGATAGATAGATAGATAGAATTTTTCTAATGCTATTATATTTCTTATGCTACTTGTGGGGTTTGATCATATTTGCTGATCTCTATAACTAATAAACAATATATGTATCATATAGGTTACACAACAACTACTCTTTCATGCAGAATCACGTGTCCATTTGGTTGGGAGTCATATGTAAATACAAACAAATAAATTGCCTGATATAGATTGGAATGAACTCAAATTTTATAACTGCGTTATTATTATTATTATTTTTATTATTATTATTATTATTATTATTTTTATTATTATTATTTTTATTATTATTATTATTATTATTATTTTTATTATTATTATTATTATTATTATTATTTATATCCATCTGTCAATTATATTATTGCCAACGAAGACTGTTTATACATTGACGTAAGTAGCGAAGTAATCATTCTAAGTAACGTGCTTAATCAAATTAAGTGCTGCGTAATTCGTTCAGTTTTTAGTAATCGCTATTTTACCATCGTTATTGTGCGTCTAGTAATGGTAGGGTATATCCGTTTGTGTCGTAAGAATCACGGATATTGTTGGTTAATCTCTTTTTGCCAGAGAGTGGGGTCTGCAATTGTTCGTAGTATTTGTAGAAAATTGAGTGTGGACCACACCCAATGAAAATGATTTAAGCGATTTTGCAAACACGCCTTCACGCACAGAAGCACGAAATGGTTTTTTTTTTTTTTTCAGAAGCGCTCACGTCTACGCATGTATACGCATTCAGACGTGAACATTGTACACTGCACGTGGGTATACAGATACGTGCGGCAGGGTATTGGTACGGGTATATCAATTTGGGTGAACTGGCGATCGGGGAGGGATTAACAATCAAACTCAATCTAAACATAACGATAGATAGATAGATAGATAGATAGATAGATAGATAGATAGATAGATAGATATTAACTAAATGGAAAAGAAAGAAAGAAAGAAAGAAAGAATCAGGTTGAGAAAGAAAAATCGAAAGAAGCAAACGAAGTGACAGATAGAAAACGATCGAGATAGATAGATAGATAGATAGATAGATAGATAGATAGATATTAACTAAATGGGAAAGAAAGAAAGAAAGAAAGCAAGAAAGAAAGCAAGCAAGCAAGAAAGAAAGAATCAGGTTGAGAAAGAAAGAAAGACAGAAAGAAGCAAACGAAATAACAGATAGAAAAAGAAAGAAAGAAAGAAAGAAAGAAAGAAAGAAAGAATCAGGTTGAGAAAGAAAAATCGAAGGAAGCAAACGAAGTGATAGATAGATAGATAGATAGATAGATAGATGGAATATGTCGATAGATATTAACTAAATGGAAAAGAAAGAAAGAAAGAAAGAAAGAAAGAAAGAAAGAATCAGGTTGAGAAAGAAAAATCGAAGGAAGAAAACGAAGTGACAGATAGAAAAAGATCGAGATAGATAGATAGATAGATAGATAGATAGATAGATAGATAGATAGATAGATAGATAGATATTAACTAAATGGGAAAGAAAGAAAGACAGAAAGAAGCAAACGAAATAACAGATAGAAAAAGAATGACAGAAAGAAAGAAAGAGTCAGGTTAAGAAAGAAAAATCGAAGGAAGCAAACGAAGTGATAGATAGATAGATAGATAGATAGATAGATAGATAGATAGATATTAACTAAATGAGAAAGAAAGAAAGAAGGAAAGAAAGAAGAAAGAAAGAATCAGTTTAAGAAGGAAAAAAAGAAAGAAAGAATCAGGTTGAGAAAGAAAGAAGCAAACGAAATAACAGATAGAAAAAGAATGAGATAGAAAAAAAGAAAGAAAGAAAGAATCAGGTTGAGAAAGAAAAATCGAAGGAAGCAAACGAAGTGACAGATAGATAGATATATATTAACTAAATGAGAAAGAAAGAAAGAAAGAAAGAAAGAAAGAAAGAATCAGGTTAAGAAAGAAAGAAAGAAAGAATCGGGTTGAGAAAGAAAGACAGAAAGAAGCAAACGAAATAACAGATAGAAAAAGAATGAGATAGAAAAAAAGAAAAAAAGAAAGAAAGAATGAAAGAATGAAAGAAAGAACGAACGGACAAACCAATAATATTGTCTTTCTCAATTCTATTTTTGTAACCAGTTCCTAGAAATTCTGCCCAAGGTAAATGCAGTCATGGCGGAAAACACGACGAAAGTCGCCAAACCACGGCTTCCGGCGGGATCAACAAAGATTCCAGCGTCCCTGAGTTATCACCACATCACCATTTGCATCGAAAAGCCGTTGACGCAGCGATCAAGGCAACAGAATTTTTCTTCACTGATCCGGGTTAGCCGACATTTTTTATTCACCTCTCTCTCTCTCCCTCTCCCTCTCTCTCTCTCTCTCTCTCTTTCTCTCTCACACTCTCTCACACTCTTTCTCTTTCTCTCTCACTCCCTCTCACACTCTCTCTCTCCTTCTCTCACTCACTTACACACATACGCACACATGATGTGGGGAAGATGTGGTGGGGAGGCTTTTACAGAAATGCTTTTACGGCCATATCTTGTTGGAACAACGGTTCTCGTAAGATCACCGAAGTTAAGCAACCTCGGATCTGGTCACTATCTAGATGGGTGACTGTTTAGGAATACCAGGTATCTTTACAAATCGTAAATGAATTATTTAAGACAGTTGTTTTTTTGGGGGTTTTTTTAATCCAACGTCACGTGGGAGAAACGCTATATGCAGATTCAAATTTCAAGGATATTATAAATTTAATATAATAATTGGGGTATAAATTCAAAATATATAACGTAACGTTGGTAGGTAGATGTTTGAAAACATCATGATATCATGATATAAACTTATATGGTATATATTTTCGTAAAATAAAAGTTAAGCAAGTATTGCGTAAAATGACGTAAAAAAATGGAGGTTAATTTAAAAATTATAAGGCAAAAGATAAAAGCAATATAAATACAGGAGAGGGGTAGACGTGATGTCTTATTGTTATACTAGAACATACCTATTCTATTGTAATGGACTCTTCCACATATAATAAGTAGTAGTAGTAGCAGTCGCCAGGGTTCAGTGGAGTTGGTGTGTCAGTCGATGTCGGAAATTAAAGTATCAACCACCACAACTAGATTGCTGCGTCATTAACTCTTATTTCAAGTTCCTAACGTTTTGTACGTCGGACCCTTTTAGGACCGACTTAGTGAAATACAAGCCTCCACTGTGAAAACTACTCTACAACAGTTATATTGTTGTTCGGTACGGTGGTTTACAAGTAATCGTCTCAAGAAAGTAACACTGTACTGTAACCGTATCAAATAGTTCATTTACAATTTTTTGCTGATAAATTGGTGACCATGGAACTCTGGAAACCATGAAATATATATATATAATGTATTATTTTATTACCTATACTCGACTGATGTGAAAAAAACAGCAAATAAAAATATATTTAAACAAACTGGTATCAGGGAAAAATTTAGAAAAAAAGAAAAGACTAAAAAAATTCATCCAACACCGCGATGCCTAACCTAAAGAGAAAAAAAATATTGAGTAAATTAAGAAAACGTAAAAGTGCTCAATACACTAAGAAGAGCAAAGTATAAAAATACCTAGTGAGTCAGGCTTCACCTAATGGATCTTCAGGGCGATCTGGCCAGTTTTGCCCTGAAGATCCGTTAGGTGAAACATTGGTAGGTAGTTCCTGGCTCACTAGGTTTATATATATATATATATATATATATATATATATATATCATCATCATCAGGCATATGGCCTGATGATTGCGTTTAGAATGAAACAGTCTGTTATCCCTAAGTGTTGACTTTTATATTTACATACGCTCTATCTATGATATTGAGCACTATATCCCATAAATATACCATACCTAAAACTATATTTCTTCATATATATATATATATATATATATATATATATATATATATATATGTATGTATGTATGTATAACTTCTACAAACTGACACCATAAATAGTTTTTAAAAATCCTGCGAATTTTTAATTTAAAATTCGCTGGGAAAATGGTCATTAACTAATTCCAATTGTGCAAATAGAATACATATATATATATATATATATATATATATATATATATATATATATATATATATATATAATATTAAATTAAAATAAAAATCCACATTTCAACTAAAAACGTTTTTAAAATATTAAATTTTAAAAATTATATATTATTATATATTATATATATATATATATATATATCTGTTCAGATCACGGCCTGTTCAAAATGATGTCCAACAAGGAAGTGCAGGATTTGTTCAATATTCGTATCACTCGTGGTTCCCTTGTGTTTGTCATCGATGTGACGGATTCGATGAAGCAGGAGATTAATGCTGTCAAGGACAAGACGGTCGAGATTGTAAAACGGACTAAAGGTACCCGGAATGCACCCAGCAGTTTCATCCTGTCCACATTCAGTGATCCAGGTATTTTAATGTTGTTCTTTTTGTTTTTGTTTTGTTTTGTTTTGTTTTTACACCTAAAAATGTTTTCTCTTATTGATTTTAGTCTTGGTAATATTTTTAGGTAAAAGGGAGAAAGGGCAGAGACCGTATAGTTAGAGTAAAAGGAATTCATTATTACATCTATACAATCTCATATCCCAAACCTTTAAGGGCAGACTTTGGATTTTGGATTTTTTCGGATTTCGGAATGGAATTGGCGGCTACATTTTTAACAACATAAGATGTGCACATGACACAGTGTTGGTAGAAGACACAGAAAGAAAACTACAAAAACTCCTACAGAAGATAGTAAAGGAAAGGAAGAAGAAAGGACTAATCATCAACTACAAGAAGACAGAATGCATGTTTGTTAACAAAAGGCTGAGCACAAAGTGTGAATTTCAAATCGGAGGTAGCAAAATCAAACAAGTGCGGAAATTTAAATATCTAGGAAGTGTTTTAATGCAGAACGGAAAGTGTGACACTGAAATCCGAAGGCGTATTGGAATAGCCAAAGATACATTCCAAAAGCTAAACAGAGTTCTAAGAAATAGAGAACTTTCGCTAGAAACAAGGAAACTGCTACACGATATCTCTACTCCTGTATGATAGTGAGTTCTGGGCAATCTCGTGAAAAATAAGACACTTGAAGCAACAGAAATGTGGTTCTACAGAAGGATGTTGAGGATACCATGGACTGAACATGTGAGCAATGACGAAGTTTTAAAGAAAATGGAAACAAAAAGGAAACTTATACTTAACATCAGGAAGACAGAGTTGAAATTTCTAGAGCACCTAATGAGAAAAGAGGGCTTGGAAAATCTGACACTCACAGGAGAAATTGAAGGCAAGAGGGACATAGGAAAATATATAATATACTTAGCTTTAGTAAACGGATAGCTGAACAGTGTTTAGGAGAAATAATAGAAAAAATTGTTAAGAGCTACAAGGGACAGGAGGTTGTGGAGATCCATGATCACCTATGCCCTCAAAGGACACAGCATGTAGAAGACGAAGAAGTAAAAAGAAATGGCCAGATGCAAGCACACTCGTCTACCATGGAGAACAGCCAATCGCTATTAAAAACTCCTTCCCATCTTGTAGTTTATACTCTATGCTGTGCAGACCTTAGAGTGTTGTGAGAGTGTCAGTACGCTAAAACCCTCTGTCACGATGACTTGTAACTTCGTGCTACTACAGACCATCAACGTCTCCCGAACGGTTTCGTCTGCTCAGTTTCAATTACAAGGTTTGGGTGAACTCGTGGTATGATTTTCAGGCAGTTTCCAAAGATTGCCGCTGTGATCGACTTCCCAGGCCGATAACATAAAGATGTCTCCTCCTTAAGAAATCGACCAAGGTAAGATTCGAACCCAGTTCCCATGGTGTGAAAGTAAACATTCTTATCAATCTGCGGTTTGCTTTTATTTAATTGGTTTTTAATATTTTCATAGTCTTAAAGAATGAAAATTCTCGAAAATCAAAACACAAACCAAAAATAAACAGAATACGCGAGCCGGGTTTGCTTAAGAGAAGAATGCAGTTCCGCAGAGCATTGGTTCGTGGAAAGATGCTCGATTGGAACCTTCTCACCAATGGAATATCGAAGAAATGGGGGTGGTTCGCTACCAAACGCGAAGCATTGCGGGTCCTCGCCGTGAAGGTGAGGTCTGATAGTACTAAGAAATGTAGTTCGTCTGAGCACTTTCCATAGATGTACAGATAGAGCTGTGAGAGGCTTGCGATATTTAGTCTGTGAGAGAGGAGTTGGAAAATAATTTGTCACCCACAAGGACTCGGAGACGCTTTCGAACTCTATCGAAACTGGAAAGTAAGGACTGGGAAGCTCCTATGCAAATATGACAGCAGTGCTTCGTTTTACGCCTGATCTGACTTTTATAAAGGTAGATGAAAGCAGAAAGACTCAGGTACTTACTGGAGCGATTCCAGCATAAATATATGACGTAAGATGGGACAACCTACTGCGGAAAAAACTGCCTCGTCAGTCATGTATCGAAAGATGAGCACAAAGTGTGAATCGTAAATCGGAGGTTGCAAAATCAAGCAAATCGGGAATTTAAATATCTGGGAAGTGTTTTAACAGAGACCGGAAAGTGTGACACTGAAATCCGAAGGCGTATTGGAATAGCCAAAGAAGCATTCCAAAAGCTAAGCAGAGTTCTAAAAAATAGGAAATTTCGCTAAAAACAAGGAAAAGATTACTAAACTGCTACACGATATCTTTACTCCTGTATGACCGGAAGTGCTGGCCAATCTCCTAACTAAGCAACTAAGAAATATAGTTCGTCTGAGCACTTTCCATAGAAGTACAGATAGAGTTGTAAGAGGTTTGCGATATTTAGTCTTTGAGAGAGGCGTTGCGGGGTGGAAAATAATTTGTCACCCACAAGGACTCGGAGATGCTTTCGGACTCTATCAAAACTGGAAAGTAAGGGCTGGGAAGCTCCTGTGCAAATATGACAGCAGTGATCTGTTGTACGCCTGATCTGCCTCTTATAAAGGTAGATGATAGCAGGAAGACTCGGGTACTTACTGGAGCGATTCCAGCATAAATATATGACGTAAGATGGGCCAACCTACTGCAGAAAAAAATCTGCCCCGTCAGTCATGTATCGAAAGATATATGATCGCCTAAGCGTGTATCTTGCATGGCACATAACTGACTAAAGATGGGCCAAAGCCTTCTCGACATGTTAGGTTGTTACAAATGAAATGACGCTTTTTTAGTTAGTTGTTGATCAGGTCGTCTAACGAAATAAACTCCTTCGTATATATTAAAAAAAAAATCTTGACTTTATTACAATGAAACAATGTCGAGTAATCTTACTGTATGAGTACAAACTTGGGAAAAGAACCATTTTCGCATCGAATCATTACATGCGATGAGAAATGAATACTCTTTGACAACAGTAAGAGAGTAGGTCAATGGTTAGATGCAAGTGAATCACTAAAACAGTACACAAAATCTCCACTGTATACTAAAACGTTAATGGTTACTGTAAGGTGGTCTTTCAAAGGGGTTATTCATTATTCATTCTTGCCTCAAAGATTTACATTAACAGCATTGTGGAGAAATCAAGTGTATGCACGAAAAATTGAAAAAGAAACATCCTAAACTTGTAAATAGGAATGCCCCAATTTTGCTGCACGACAACGCACGGTCGAACGCTTTTCAAGCAACTGTCCAAAACCTGCATAGCCTGAATTATGGAATTATTTTGCTTCCATATTCACCTGATATCTATCCTACAGGTTATCACATATTTAAGCAGTTTGATCTTTTCATACACAATAAAACATTCTCCAATAAGGAATAGGTAATCGAAGCATTTTGAACTGCTTATCACATCAATGGATGAGAATTTTTTTAAAGATGGGATCAAGAATTTAGAGGCACGTTGGTGAACAGTCATTCATCAACATGGTACCTATTTCAACTAAATAAATTAGTTACTTAATATTTCAGGATTATTTTATTCATTTCCTATAAATTGCGTCATTTCATGTGTGACAACCTAATAATTAGGCTTAGTAGAGTGCAGCAGAAGTAATTTTCGTGACATGAATTGTAATAGATCATGTTGAATGCTTAATGCGATATATTTTGTGCAGACGACATCGTGAAAAGACTGTTCCGTTTTCAGAATGTTAAATAAGGGATTGTGCATTTGTAATTGGACATCAGTGAATGTCGTCTGAGTTTAGATCATATATTACAACTCATTGACTGATAAAGCTCTTAGACTAGTCAGACTGGTTGGAGCACAAATGCGTGGCGTGGGTTGAAGGAAATCGCCTCAAAATAACAACTTCCGCTGAACGTTACAAGGCTTAACAGGAGTCAACGAATCTAAATTTCGAGACAATCGCACCGAGTCGTTTGACGCCAAAGCCGAATCGCGGTGTCCAAACGAGGTCTATGAAAAAAATGTGCGGTTTGGGGATCTTAGTTTTCGTTTAGTTTGGTTCGTTTTACGGTACATCAACATCAATGGTTTATTTAATGCCGACAAGATTTTTATTGCTGGTAATATTTTTTCCTTCAAAAATATATTGCTGGTAATAACGTATTCCTGGTAATATTTATTTCCAAAATTGTATTGCTGGTAATAATTTATTGCTGTTAATAATTTTTTCTTCAAAAATTTATTGCTGATATTAAAACTTATTTTTACACTTTCATAGTGTTTTGTTCCCAAACCCAGTTTGAGGGTTAACTATTTACCCATAGTTGGGACCCTAACAGGTGCTACAACCCAGAGTCAGGGTGGACCTGGGAACACCAGCAATTAAGAGGTGGTTCCATGCTCTTCAAAACGTCCTGATTAGAGGACTTGCTGTTGGGCATATACTTTTTTTATATATTTATCTATTTTATATCTTTCTTTGTCAGAGATTTTGATATTAGCCAAATCAGTGCCGGTGAAAGGGCCTTGTAATCCTAATCTATAATACCCCACCGAATCTATGATACCTTCTGAATGTATAATACGTCTTCATTATCGATGATACGGGGCTCTCCACTCTACTACAAGTCAATTTTCATAAGGTAGTACTTATATAAAGTAGCAAATTTATTGTAGCGTTAAAATATACAATAATGGATTATATGAAATGGGGTGAAAAATTCAACGAAAAACATTATATCATAACCTATTTATGGATCGTGTGGAATATTGGCGAAGAATTGGAAATAAATTCAATGTATCTAAATAAAAATTAGAGACATGTCATAATAGATCATTTTATATTTAATAAATACACAATGTCTTGTGGCAATTTTTAACAACAATTTGAGATTTTCTTTCTTAAAAAGTTGAATATTTAAAACAAAATTCTATATACTATAAACTGTGATATAGACTGTTCTTCCGAGGCTCCTGTCGCAGCTCCTGTCGCAGCTCCTGTCGAGGGACCCGGGCGAGGCTGTGTCGAAGGGCAAAGTTTCGTCCGGGGTAGTAGACGGACCCGAACCCGTTTATACGGGTTCTACGGGGATTTGGGGGTCGAGCCTACGGGCTAGGACGACCCATGTTAAACTCGGCCTTGTACCGCATGTATCCTCGTGAGGTAAAGGCTACTAAATATTAACAGTGATATAAACTGAACGCTGGTCAACCGACACACACTCCCAAGTCGTGTAACGCACTTCTGTTGTATTTACTGTTCAATACACTATTTATCTGCAACCTCTTGTTTTGTTATTTCTTAACCAATTACTTCGTCACAACAGATACAGGGCTGTACACTCTACTACAAGTCAATTTTCATAAGGTAGTACTTATATAAAGAAGCAAATCTATTGTAGCGTTAAAATATACAATAATGTATCATGAAGTGAAAGATTCAACTAAAAACATTTTTATTATAACCTATTTATGGATCATTTGAAATATTGGTGAAGAATTAGAAATAAATTCAATATATCTAAATAAAAATTAGAGACATGTCATAATAGATAATTCGATCTTTAATAAATAATGTTATAATATCAACTTGAGATTTTTCTTTTTAAAAAGTTGAAGAATTTTAACAGATTCAAAATTATGAATAAAAAAGATAGTGAATTTTATGTAGTCTTTTAAAAAAATTAACACGAATAAAACAAATTCATTGATTTGTACAATAAAAGAAACCAGAATGACGTCAAAATGTTTCTTCCTTTAATAGTTACTTGTGGTTAGCTTAATTTGTAGCGTATATTAATGTCGATAGAAAAAGCAAATGTTGATAACGTAGAGAGGGTCACTATACATTGCTCAGAACCCCTAATCAGGGAGTAGTACACAACGTACCTGACCGTAGCTGCTTTGTATTGACACCGGGGATTTTTCACAAGTGACAGATAGCTGTAAAAAGGCGTTGTTGGTTATTTACGGTTAATTTGTTTAAATAAGGTACTGATTATTCTTTTTGAGTCCCGGAGCAATAATTGGAAGTAAAATGATGCTCTAAAATAAGTAACAAAGTAATCATTGTAAGTTCTCTGAATATCGTTGCCTTAAATATTTATGATGGATCACTAACGAAAATAAAATACGACAAATTGAAATGTTACAACCCTTCAATATATACAGACCTTCAGCATCCATAAAAGGTGGGGAATTAACATCAAATCAAAACGAATTTGATTTTCTTCGGTGTACATTAGAAAGAAACACAGACCAGCGTTTGTTTATTTTTCTGATTACTTTCTTTTCCTTTTTTTTCCTCAAATAATTTAAGAAAGTAGACATTATTATTTCCAACAAATTACAAAGCACTTATTTTGATTAACCATGTTACTTAGAATGATTACTTTGCTATTTATGTAAATGTAAAACCTATGTTAGTTGGCAATAATAAGGGGAAGATGTCTATGAAAGGGTACTGTTGATTATTTACGGCTAAAATGTTTAAATATTGTACTGATTATTCATTGCGACACGTGGTAATAATTGTAAGTAAAATATTTCATTAAAATACGTAATCAAATAATCGTTTTAAGTTCTCTGTGCATCAGTGCTTTTCTGTCAGTATTGTTCTTAATCCATCCTAGTGTTCCTACAACTACTGACTGGATTTAAATTTCATATTCTTGTAATGTCTATTCCCTGATACAGATATATTACTATTATTATTATTATTATTATTATTATTATTATTATTATTGCTACTGTTATTTTTATTTCTAGAACGTATGACGCGGGTGAGGCAGACTGGAAAGGCTGACGAAATGATCCGCTGGCTCCGGGATATTAAAGTTTCTCAAGGAGGAGATTGTGAAGAATACGCTCTAAGTGGCTTGGAACAAGGTAATTATGGAATTAGTAAGTGTGGTAAGATATGTGTATATATATATATATATATATATATATATATATATATAGGGTGACCCAAAAAAACGGGAATTTTTGAAGTGCGTATTGCCAGACATGAGCAAGTGGCAACACTGCCAGACATTGACCTTGAGCAAGTAAGCATTTCGCCATTTAGAATTCAAGATGAAATTCACAGTACCCCAACTGAGATGTTGCAGCAGTCAATGAGGAATCTCAACAGCAGATTTCAAGAATGCATTCGTACAGGAGGACGCCATCTACAGGACGTAATTTTTAAAAAAGGAAAATTCCATCATTGTTTCTTAAATGGCATTTTTTAAGGTTTTAATTAGTGTGAATAAAATATTTTTCTTCCATCACTCTTGGTTTTATTGGATTGTTAAAAAGTTCCCATTTTTGGGGGTCACTCTGTGTATATATATATATATATATATATATATATATATATATATATATATATATATATATATATATATACGCACACACACACATGCATATAAATAAGACATTCACAATCGCATATACTTACGTATACGAGGTTTGTTTGGGCACCTCGCGGCGGTGTAATGGATAACAAGCTTGTTTCGTGAGAACAATTACTGAGTAGTGAATTCGATCCTCACTGGGTGCACCATACTTTCGGCCTTGTGTCACATCTAAGCTACGTTTGAAAATTATCCAGAATTTTTAATATCTTGAGAACCAGTTACGCGACCTTAATTTAAATTTTAAACCAATCCTAGGACACATTAATGCGCATACGAGACCATTCTCCCGTAGATTTCGTTGATTGTTAAATGCTACTCAATGAGATCGTGTTCTTTGTAGCAAGTGAGTAGAATTTTCACTTCCCGCGCAAGGATTATTGGGAAATCATCGCATCACCCAAATCAATTAGACTACCGGCAATAAAAATTTATCTCCCTACTTCCAGCTTTCCCCAAAGAACGTGATTAAAGAGAAAGTGATGAGACATCTGATGTCGATCTTGAAAAGAGAAATCTTCAGAATGTGTCCAAAAGAGAAATAGTCTGTGAGTAATTGGCATTTTTGGTTCTGGAAGGACGCTGTATGTGAGAGGTAAACTTTCACGCATATAAATATATATTGAGAGAGAGAGAGAGAGGGGGGGAGAGAGAGAGGGAGAGAGAGAGAAAGGGAGAGAGAGAGAGAGGGAGAGAGAGAGAGAGATTAATGACGACATTATTTACTTATTATGACTACCAGACACGATAATGATCACGAGTCCTGTAATCCGTGAGGTTCGTATAGGCAGCATATATACTGCACTCATAAGTGCACCCGTAGCTGCAGTCATGTGCTATGGGCAAGATTGCCTGATAGGTCCCAGCACTCTCCAATCTAGATTCAAGTCAGTTTTCCTTTTCCTGTACTGGTTGCCAACCAAAGCTACATGGCCATGTCTGTACTGCTATTTAATCCATAGCTGAAACGAAAAGAGACGGATTCATACCTTTCCCAAAATAAATGAAAAGAAACGACAGAAATTCGAACTCGGTTCTTTGATTTCACATTCCGAGCCGCTATAACACCACCGCGCATCCACTATCAGTAGTAATAGTATTAATAGTAGCCAAATCATCACGTTCATTAATATCAACATTGTTATTAGTACTACATTACTCGTAATAGTAGCACTATCATCATCATCATCAGCAGCAGCAGCAGCATCATCATCAGCATCATCCATATTAGTATCATTACATTATTAGTAGTATTACTAACAGTTAAAAGAAGAATTATCGTTTATCATGGTTATTAATTTTTTTCTTTTTTGTCCTTTATTAATATTAATAGTAGTAGTCGTATTATCATAGCACCATTATTATTATCATTATTATCTTTGATTTCTGGCGTTTACACATTTCTTTCCGGGTCTCGCCCGGGGACCTAAGGTTAGAAATGGCGTCATGACACTTTCCACTGACAAAAAAAAAAAAAAATTACATAGATAAAGCCCTTCGTAAGGTATGGGCTGTACTTGTCAAAACAATTATTTGTATCTCCTTGAGGCATGGACGTCCAGGAATCCCTTTAATTAGTCTACTGCAATCTTTTCCAACCAGTCCTAGGGCTCCAACTACAACAGGGATTGTTGATGTTCCCATATGCCACATTTTCGAGATTTTTGTTTCAATGTCATTGTATTTTGACAACTTTTTGAATATCTTCAAAGATACATTGCAGTCAGCAGGGACTGCCATATCAATAAGGAGGCATCGTTTTTGTTTGTGGTCTTTAATAACAATATCTGGGCGGTTGGCCTTGATTGTTCTGTCAGTGTGTATTGTGTAGTCCCATAGAATTGTAACAGGTCCTATCTCCGTAACCGGGTCTGGGTGGTGTTCATACCAGTTTCTTTCAGTTTCCTTCCCGTAGAAGTTGCATATTTTCCAGTGAAGATATTGGCCCACTCTGTCATGCCGGGTTTTATATTCAGTGGGTGCCAACACCGTGCAACCTGATACAAGATGATGATGATGATGATTATTATTATTATTATTATTATTATTACAGCCATAGCCGTTGCTACTCCGAAATCGCAACTCTATCTGATCACTGACGCCCCTCCGAAAGCTCCGTCAAAATTCCAGGCCGTGCTGGCACAGGCATTGTCCAAACAGATCCGAATCACACCGATTTTGACAGGAGGCTGCGGCCAAGACATGCACAGACCAAGAGGCAAACGTAGCACAAAAGACAATCCCGGTTGGTATTATTTCGTTTATAAATTGATTAAGACAAAAACGTGTTTACTGCAATCAATTCAATTTTACGGGTAGATTTGAGGTATTCAGAAATCCACCCAAATGGGTTATTCAACACACCCCGCAATATTATTCGGTTCAATCGATTGAAGGAAAGGCCATTAAATATTAGAGGAATCGAAAAATAATGACCAATTTTATTTTGGCACATGTTTTATATATATATAAATGAACATTGAAGTCAACACTTGCCTCTAAGTATTGACTTCAATGTTTACTTATATATTTAGATATGCTCTATCTCTGATATTGAGCACTTTATCCCATAAGTATAGCACACCTTAAGAGTATATTTCTTCATATATATATATATATATATATATATATATATATATATATATATTTCTTTTAGGATATTACATTAAAAACATGTGAAAAAAAACGCTACTCATATGCAATCATGTTTCGATGCGTATTAAAACATCTCATTAGGCCTTAGTAAATACCTGCTGAATAGACAATTGACATTTAAAAACCTTACACATCAAAGCATAATTGCTTTAGTGTAACGTTTTTTTTACATGTTTTTAACAATTATTTGCAAAATTGAATAATTACATTAAAAAGGACATGTGAACATTTTAGTACGAAACAAGTGGGTAGTGGAGAAATTTCAGGACATTCTCTTCACCTATTACTCACTTTATTCTGGCCTGGCATATATAATAGCTGGCTACTCTCGTTTTCCGGGCCCATCCGTCCGCTTGGACGATAAGACAATCACTGTCGCAGACACCTGTTCAGGCACATTTGTGTTTGTTCAACATTCACAGAGATCACCTGTGGTTTATACTGCTACTATGCTTACAGTTTTTGGAAGAGAGTACGTAATCTGTTATAATCAGCTCCTTGAACAACGCCAGTACAATCAAATACTGGCATTTATACACAAACACAGACTCACACACACATATATATATATATATATATATATATATATATATATATATATATATAGAGAGAGAGAGAGAGAGAGAGAGAGATACGAGTGTATATATATATACCTGTGGGTTTGTATATATATATATATATATATATATATATATATATATATATATATATATATGTATTACAATGAAGCATTCATACGAAAAGTAGATTACTAAAGTTAACGATATAAAATGGCGAAAACTCTTCGCAAACAAAATTTTAACGTTGCATTAACCTACAAACCACTCGATGAATGTTATGATCCTTGTTTTTAATAACTACGAGCTGTATAAGGTCTTTTTTTTTAATCTGCAAGTACTTTCAACTGTACATACAGTCATCGTCAGACATGGAAATTATTTTGTTTTTAGTAAATCCAGGTAGCATCAGAGACGAAATATTAAATGCGAATCGAAATATGTTTTTCTTTTTAGAAATCTTAACGGATAACAACTTTTCGAGCGTGCAGTCGCAACCCTAAGGTTGAATTTATTGATAATCCAGGTAGCATCAGAGACGAAAAATTAAATGCGAATCGAAAACAAAATTTCTAAAAAAACATAGATCAGGATAACAGTCTGAATAATGTAAATAATGCAAGTAATCATAATACCTCATTTCAGAGATATAGACAGAGATATAAAGAGACATAGACATAAAGGCCAGAGTGTACAGCGGCCGAAACGTTGTGAATATAGCAATGAAGATGAGGATAACAGTCCGAATAATGTAATTAATGCAAGTAATCATAATACCTCATCTCAGAGATATAGACAGAGATATAGAGAGACATAGACATAAAGGCCGGAGCGTACAACGGCCGAATCATTGTGAATATGGCAATGAAGATAAGGATAACAGTCCGGATAATGTAAATAATGCAAGTAATGTAAAGACTAGTTTCATAAAGCATTTAAATTAGAGAATGTGTGTTTCTACAGTGTGACATTTTTATAGGCCTCCGTGATAGACACGTTTGTGAAAGAGGACAAAAACTCATGGAAGGAAAGTAAGACAATGAAAATGAACGTTCCCTCGTGGTGGTGGAGGACACTTTCTCACCGTGGGCGACTACATCTTATATCAAGAGTTGTGAAATAGAATAGAGAATGAGCGAGAATGCCATTTCCTGTTTATAGGCTTAAAGAGCGTCCTCTAGCGTGGTTTTTTTAGGACAGTCAAAGTAACATAACCCACGCCATATATTGTCTCTTCTCGCAATTAAAGTTTAGTTCTTTCTTTTTGCTCCCGTTCATTACCTTCTGTAGTTCTTATAGTTTCCTTTCTGAGTTTGCTATCAACACTATGTAATCATCATATCTTATGTTGTTATGACTGTAGCTGCAAATAATGAATCTTAGTATTATTTCTTATACTCTCATTTTTATTAAGCTGAAAATGGCCGTTGCTCTTCTAACAGAACTTTTAATACATGGTTCGAAAGATAATAAGTGCATAGAGCTTTTTAACATTATGCATTCCCTTCTAAATTGTTTTATTGCTTTGCTTTTTACAGATAAGTACAACACATGGTATAAAAGATTCCAACAATTGGCTGAGATGACAGGTGGTCAAGTGTATGCAACTACAGACAGTCGATTGAACGAAACCCTTGCAGTCTTGGAGGTAAGATTGTTATGATTTCGGTTCTAATCTCATTCTTTGGAGGTTCAAACCATGCTTGGTAGCTTATTCTCGTTCTTTGTATTGGGTGAACATTATTATAAAATTTTTTTTTTTAAATAACATGGTGACATTTGAAAGACTCATTCGGTTTGAAATTCTTTTCTAATGTCATTATATCAACTCTTGTCATTATTAAATCATTTTTTGACTAATCTCCGTATCTTTGTTATTTCACTAAATGTCCTTTTGTCATTAGGTTACGGTCATTTTGTTTTACTATTTTTCGGGCGGTACTTCTCTACGGATATTTCAGTAATTTCAGAGGATATACGTTAGAGATGAATAAAGTATCACTGCCAACACTTGAGTTTCAACATAGACCGCTAGTGAGCAAACACAGGCGATCCCATTATTGAATTAAGTAGACCACGTGACCATAGAGGAAATACATATATACGCAGTCACGTGGCATCTAGACCGATTGTTATTTCTAGTCTATCCTCTATTACTATACAGACCGCTTTTCTCAACTATATTCTCTATACTATTTTTCTAATCGAATCACTGTACGGATTACTATAATAATAGTCCATAATCTAAAAACTAGAGCGTAGAACCGAAATATCAACCTGACAACGGGAGTCACTTAAATGGCCTCATCAGATTGACTTTCATGTGGATGCCATGTATGGTGCCAAACCAGTTCAGAAATATCTAAACTCTCAGCTGTATAAAATTGCTTTCTAAGACCAATAGTGGTAAAAAGGTTTTGAGTGGGCAAAGCATGAGGATCTTGGCAAAGATCACCCTTCTTTTAACTTTGTGAAGACTGGCGCTATAGAATCCCAAACCAAATACCATAAACCACATCACTTTTTTTTTTTTTGGTGCCAAATTTACCGTAGTGGAATTCTTTTTGATCACCAAAGTGTACAACTCCAAAACGGAGAGGAATTTCTCAGATCAATTATATATAATAGTTTTAAAATTAAAACTTCATGGTTTTCCTATTTGAATTCTTTGATGAATCTTAATTCTCAAGTTAATAATTGAATAAGTTCATGGTCAGTTCTACGACAATAAAATATCCGTAGAAGTTCCCCTATCGCATCGTTAAACATTTGAGCTTAACAACTTTAACAAAATAATAGCAATCATAAATATGAATGCTGGTTGGTATTTTAAGAAGTAAGGGGGTACAAATTAAAAAAGTTGGAATTGATAATTTTTTTACATTTTCCTGAAACAAATTTAAACACTTCTATCTTTCCTTCTTTCTTTCATTTTCTCATTGAAACCAAGTTTTTTTTTTTTTATATGTCTTGTCTTATCACGAGATCAAAACGGAATAGTCCATTACTTATTAGGTACTGGCAGAGCGTAACGGTCGTGCTAACTAAGGAACTAATGAAGGGAGAGATAGGGTCAATTATTATATGATATTCCATCTCTCGTTGAGATTTTATATATAACAGGAATGCTTAATGAAACACATCTACCCACAAAATTTCTTGAGATTTTTATATGGATGCCATGCATGGCGCAAACCCCGTTCAGAAATATCTTAACTGCCAGCTGTATGCAACTGTTCTCTACAAACGTGTAGGTTTCATCCTTCTTTGAACCTCGTGGACTGGCGCTACACAATCACAAAGAACTCTACTAGATAACAGAAGCTACAGGATGACCGAAAAGTAACACCCCATTTTAAAATACTTATAATTTATTTATTAACAATAAGTTTTACAAGAAATGGATATGAGAGGAAAGCATTTAGTATAAGGTCTTTGTTAAAATTCGATATGGGCATCAGATTTAGCTACTGAAAAGCTCAAGTCATGTTCTTAAATAATCTCGTTGCATCGAGACTTTAATATGGATGTCATGTATGGCACCAAACCTGTTCAGAAATATCTAAACTGTTAGCTGTATATAGCCGCTTCTTCGTCTCGATAATTAAAAATTTCTTCGAGCCAACGTGTAGGTCTTAACAAAGTCAATTCTTTCTCCAAACTTAGTGAACAGAATCACAAAGAATTGTACCAGATAACAGAAACCACATCATTTGAGGACTTTCAGCAGCAGCAACAACTGAAAGGAGTAGCACAAAGGAGTTACAACTGAGCAACAACTGAGCAATAACTGAAAGGTGTAGCACAAAGGAATTACAACTGAGCAGCAACTGAAAGGAGTAACACAAAGGAGTTACAACTGAGCAACAACTGAGCAGCAACTGAAAGGTGTAGCACAAAGGAGTTACTCGAAGAAAGAATACTGACATTAATCAAGGTGTTGACATTCAACACTACCTGAAACAAAAGGCAAGGAAGGAAAGCCCCCATCAATACTGGAAGGATAAATAACAGCTACTGGACTTGATAAACCTTTTTTCCTGAAAAATTATTTTAAAAGAGAGATTTTATAAATTTCAATCGACTGTGATACTAACTGTTCTGTCAATGAATGCTGAATGTTTCCTCATGTTATATTCCGTGCTAAGGGAATAAACACTTGTGGATACTAGAAGAAAGGTTTATTGTACACAACATGTACAATATGAAATACGGTACAGTTATACACACAGGTCAATCTAGTAGTGAGTGCCACTAATTGGAAGCTCAGACGTGCTTGCGTCGCCTCTATTTCACTTCCCTTCTTGCCGGGATCTCGTAGACAGTTGACTTTATGGGTACTTGCTGTTATTCATGATGACGGTCGTCTTTGAGTATAGAATCCAGAGGTTAGCAGTGAATATTTCGAAGACAGTAGGGAAGCGCAGTTCAGGTTAGCAGTGGATATCCCGGTAAAGTAGCAGAGCGTAGTTCTTCCTTCTGTTCCTCTTCACCTGACAAGCTAACACGGAACATTCGGATAGAGTAAACAAAATGGCCGCCTTTATACACGACGGATTGAATATTCTACGTCTTCTGATTGGTTAACCTTCTATTGGTGGACTATAAAGTGAGTCAAGTCATTTGGGTTGGCTCACTAGTCTATTGTATCCAAAAATTGTAACACTTGCTGCCTATAGTGTAATCATTCATGGGAATGACTGGTTATTCTATTACATCTGATATGTCCTGGAAAGGGATATATTTGTTCGAAGTAGCAAAGTGGTTTTGGACTACTGTAACCGAGTAGAATAATCTAGCAGGTAACCGAAATGAACTGGTCCTCGTCGTAGTGGTAGGCAATAGGCGAAGACTAAAAAATAGGCGTCGTCCCTGTACCTCCACATCAGTCTGTATTTATGGCTGACACCAGCCAATCATATTACTGTGAGGGGGAACCCAGGTATATACATATCCGTTACATCAACATCAATTTTATATTCTTATTTAATATACAGTAACATGTGCTTTTAACGCTTTTCTAGTTATATTACGACTTCAATATTTGTGGCGTAAAGTCGAATAAAATGGGTTAAACTAGATTTTTATTTTATCCATATCTATTTTTTGACAAACGACGTATAGTTGAGAACGACTTAACTCGAAACGACGTAACCCGAGGTATACCTGTATTGTGACCATTTTTCTTAAAGACCCTATTTTCTTGATTTCCGATGAAATTACATCACCTTATAAGGAAACACCTAATATTGCCATTGCATTTAACATCACTTGATTCTAAATAAGCAAATTTTATTTGAACCCTCGTTGTTTATTCAATTTTTGGAAATCTAACACCGGATTTCATATTTGACATACCCCGATGTATTCGAGAGCTAAGAGTAGATATTCAATTTCTTTTTGTACATGTTTCAATTGGAAATGTTAATTTCATTTTAAATTTATGTTTATTTCCAGGAAAGTCTTCTGGAATCACCAGTGGAAGTGATGAGAGCTGGCATTTTTTCAAACGAACAAAACTACACTGATATTTTCATAGACAACACGCTCTACGATATTCGAATCACGATAGGCACTGACGGAAAAACTGACCAGATGCAACTCTTGTCACCGGAAGGTAAAAAGAAAATCTCTTACTTTATTTACATGAGGTCTATTACAACCTAGGTTGAACAAAAACCCATAAAGAAAAGCGAATAAAATAGGCAACACCGTTCTTTCCACTGGCAAATCCCATGCTATCCTAGATGAACCAAATGGATGAGTCAAAATGGGTGACTAAAAACCATTTTTAAATAAGAGTAGGAAACGCTGGTTGTAATGTAATTGGAGAGGTACAATTTATAGGGTTTGCTTACCAAACAATGGGTGCGTATTATGCCTGAATAGAAGCATTTTTTCCACACTTTCAGCACAATTTTAGGGGTGCGTATTAGAGAGGAAGGCGTATTATACATGGGCAATTACGTTATATATATTTTAAATGCAACTGTATGTCTTCAACTACCACCCTCACTACTTTTTAAGTAATTTTCCCCAATCAAGGCAGGGATGTCACTAGTACGTAAGGGGTTATAGAAAGTGAAAGTAAGAGTAAAGAGAGGTGTTTGAGGAAAGGATAAAGAGAAAGACGGGGATCAAGATCAAGACATCAGAGGTTGACGATTGACATTACATTTGAATTTTTGAAATTATTTTTATCAGAAAAGCAAGTAAGAGGAAGGAAGTTCCGCTGTCGGGAAGTGCGAGTGAAGCTGTTGAAGTAGAAGAGGCCTTTACATTTAACTGTTTCGACAGTAAAAGGGTGGGACCGAGATGCCGACCTAGTAGCACGCTTAAAGTTAAACACCAGTGAAAATAGCTCGTCAGAGGAGTTGCCATGAAAATATTTGTAGAAAAGACAGAGAGAAGCCACATCACGTCTGTGAGAAAGTGACTGAAGTCGAGATGTCAGGTCAGAGCCTATCACACTGAAAATCCGTCTTTGGATTTATTCGAGAATTTCGAGATGAATAGCTGGTCACCAGACCATATATGGCAACAGTATTCAATGTAAGGACAAATGATAGATTTGTAGATGTGTAGGATGGACTCAGACAATAAAAACCTTCCGGCGCGACACGGAGAACCAACTTTCCTTACGATAGATGAAGCTATTGATTCAGTGTAGTTGTTCCACCTCAGGCCAATGGAAAACGTGAGACCAAGAAGACGCAGAGAAAAGTTCTCGTGAAGTTGAGCATGCTGATAGGAGGCACGGAGGTTTCTCTATTGTGGGTAAATGAGAGTAGTTCCATTTTGGAAGCATTAAAATTTACAAACCATTTCCTGCCCCAGTCAACCACAGATTGAAGGTCCTTTTCAAGACCAACGGACAGGTTAACTTTGTCAGCGCTGCCAGATTTACTATTGAGACAAGAGTAAATGTAAAAGATAGTGTCGTCTGCGTAGATGCCGACTTCAGAACTGATGACATGGGGAAGATGGTTGGTGAAGATAAGAAATAGTGTAGGATCCAGAATAGAGCTTTGGGGAACACCAGCGTTCCTATGAATGGAACAGGAGCAGAACCCTTTTAGGAAGACATTCATTTCACGGTTTGACAAGAATGATTGGATTAAATCAAATAATCATCCTGTAATACCGTACCCGTGAAGCTTACATAGAAGGCCGACATGCGAAACCCTATCAGACACCTATGAGATACCTATATCGACAGTTCGAGCTTCGCCGTTATTATCAAGAGATTGGTATACAAATTCAGTAAGCGTGTACCTGTAAGCCGGGCAAAGCGGAAACCATGTTTGTCAGAGAGTAGAGGTAAGGTGATTAACGAATTCGGCATTGATTAAAGCCTCGAAGACTTTGCCGAAGAGTGGTAGGAGAGTGATAGAACGGTAGTTAGATGGCCCAAAAGGGTCTCCAGAGTTCTTAAAAACAAGAACAACAGAAAGTCCTCTTCCAACAGCGAGGCCACAGAGGAGCGTTCGGATAACCCAATCGGTTAAGGCACGTCAGGCTATATGACGGTTCCGTATAGGATACAGGTTCGATTCCTGTCGGAGGACGCATATTTTCTATGAAAATTTCTCGGACATTCAGGCCGGTAAATTTCGTTAATACTGCTTATTATAAACAGAGCATTTACTTAAATATTTGTATCTATAAAAAGAACGTATAAACATAAAAAATGTCTTAAATAATTGTCGGACTATGTCGGATTGTGTCCATTTCCTAATGTATTTGTTTACATTTGGATACGCATTGAGCAGATATGAATGAATGAGAGAAAATCATGGAGAATTCTGTTTAAAACCAGTAAAATCGACCTTGCTAACCGAACACTCTCCTGTGGCCCAATAGGTTAAGGCACGTCAGGCTATATGACGGTTCCGTATAGGACACAGGTTCGATTTTCTATGAAAATTTCTCAGGCATTCAGACCGGTAAATGTTGTTACTACTGTTTATCATAAAGAGAGCATTTACTTAAATATTTGTATCTATAAAAAGAATGTAAAACCATAAAAATGTCTTATATATATATAGTTGTGTATTTAGGCAGCAATCCTTCTTTCATGCATATTTCATTGAATACGACAAACAAAGTGCTTTTATTTACTTTCTTTTCGGTTAATAAATTAAATAAAAACTGTCCGAATGAAAATTATATAAAAACTGTCCGAAAAGAAAAAAAATATTAGATCGCATGAGAAATTGTATAAAAAACTAAATAAAAGCACCTTGTCTGTCGTATTCAATGAAATGTGCATATATATATATATATATATATATATATATATATATATATATATATATTATAATAAATTACAATAAAAACATCGCTACACAAAAACTTACATGTTTCAGTACTAAAAGTGTACTTCCTCAAGCGATGGTAGATAACTTGTGAAAAAATAATTTATGAGGGACATTTAAAAAGAACAAATCGTTGCCTTTTCGGAAGTTAAAGTGGAGGCATAAGGTCAGAATTAAAAATATACTTATATATATATATATATATATATATATATATATATATATATATATATATTTGGTTGGATAGATGTGAGTTTGTGACCCTGGGTTTCACGCTTTAGCGATCGTCAGACAAACTGATTAATGTTTTAAAAAATTGGGGTTTATGTAGATTGCGTGTATTGGTGTTATTGTGGAAGTGGTGGGGGAAATTTCGTCGTTTTGTCATTCATCGTACTAACGCAAACATCGATCTATGCAGACACATATACATACTTGGTCGTCCGTCGGGACTCATACAATTATAAACATATGTGGGCAGTTTCGGCTATGACACATGTATGTATACGGGTGGTGTTATATCTATACATACGCATATGTATGTTGAAATGTTGAAATTTATACATTGGAAGTGTGGTGGAAATGTCTCGTTAATGTCTCGTGAATGTATCCATGTCATATTAAAATTTTTTTTTTTTTTCCGTTGAAAAATATTTCCTCGCATGTATGTATATACGTGTGGTGGGGTTTGTGTAAAATTATGATAGGTAAAATTATTATTATAATTATTTATATTTATTTTTAAATTTTTGAAAAAAATGGGGGTTTATTTGTTATATTTAAAGCTGGTTATTTGTTTGTTTTTGGTGACTGTGTATATGTAACAGGTAAAAATTTGTAATCCTTATTGTTTAATTTATATGGTGATGTTTAATTTAATAACGGGTCTATATGATATGATGTGATAGTAATGTTTCAAGGGATTGGAGACAATGATAGTTAGCTAATAGTTATTGTAAATTGGTAGAAATTGTAAATTGGTAGAAATGATTAGTAACGGTGGTGGGAGAATGATAAAACCATGAATGTAGTTATTAGTGGTGGTGGCTTGAACTAAAAAGTGGTTGTTGGTGTTTTATTTTATTTTTTTTTTTATTTTGTTATATGTATTAATTTATTTTGGTATAAATCCTGATAATAGGTATTCTGTGTGAAATTATGGTAGTTGAAGATTGCTATAATTTTTAATTTTTAATTACAAAATTATTATTGTTATTATATTAAAGCTGTCTGGTAATAGGTGTTTGTTCTCATGGTTACATATGGAAATTATATCTGATCATATTGTTTTAAGGTATTAATTATGCTGGGGGAGTAATAAAGATTGTAGTGGATTATATGTTAATAGTGGGTGTGATGTGTAAGTGATGGTGCTGTGTGTAGGTGGTAATGATCCAACCAAATATGTTAGCTCTATCTCTGATATTGAGCGCTTTCTAATAAGCACCGCGCATATAATATATAAATAATTATACATATATATATTTATTTATATTTATATACACTTTTCACATATATATATATATATATATATATATATATATATATATATATATATATAAAGTGCTTGTGTTCGATTTAATATATTAGTGCTATTAAATATATATTAATAAATATACATATTATTCCTCATAGCTTGCTCGACTCGGAGTTTCATGCACGACGCAATCTTCAGGCACTGAGAATGAACTGACCGTTACGCAATTTGAATTATAATATATCCTGATGGCTGTGAGGGTTAATATATATCTTTATTAATATATACTTAATAGCTCTATTATATTAGATAGAATAAGATATTACATATAAATATATAAAAACACCTAATGTTTTTATATATTTATATGTAATATTTATAATAAAGGTATGTTTACAGAGAATTATTAAAATTAAAATTGCTTTGCATACATATGATTCGATTACCAAAACAAGTATTAATCTGAAGGAATTCTACCATAAATATACATATATGAACTCACACTCGATCTCAAGTACTTGGCTCTTCCTCATACCTTTTGCCTTTACAAGAGCCAGAT